CTTTGCAATCACAAGAGGTTTCCTCTTAGTCCAACAGCCTACAAGATGCCAATACCAACTGCTTCACAGGAGAATGCAAAATACAATACAATGGGTAGCTATGAGTGTAAACTCGTTTCAAAGCAGATTTCTTCTAGATTAATATTACTTGAAGTCATCAGCTTTGGGTCCAAAAGTTCCTGCAGACTTTTCTGCAGGTCTTATCAGTGTAGATTTGCTTTCAGAAGGTACTTAAAAATGTGTTTAAATGGGATGAAAGAGATTTAGGCATACTGCTTGCTTGATTTGGGCCGTAAGTCTGAGCATTCCCACAAATAGCATCAAAGTCAAGTTCAGAAGTACTAGGAAAGAAATGCCAGCATCCTAGGTACCTCTCTTCTGTCCAGCTTTTCCATTGCAGAAAGTATTAGGCTCCTCATTTGAAAGTTTTGTGTGGCACAGAAGTTCATAATGGTCAACTCTGACAAAGGCTTATTACTCATAACAAAATAAAAGCTCGCTTTGTGTTGCTTCACCAGGATACGACCGAGCTGCACTTTCAGCAGTCAGAACAAATAGGAAGTGATAAACTGCAATTCCTTCTTCAAGGAGGCAAAACCCTCAGCAACTGCAGTGTAACAGTGCTGAAGAGGGTTTAGCTCAGCTTTGTCTCTGGTTTCATTGAGCTTGCCAGGGAGAGGACACCAGATTCTGAGTCAGCTGAGCGCTCATCCTGTGCAATATGTACATTGCCATGAGCTGTAACAATAATCCATTATTTATACATTTATGAATATGTAATACACAGTAGGCCATTTGTAAGTGCATTATTATACCAGGGATGTATACTGAAAAGTCAGGGAGATAACTTAGGAAATGACAGAAGAAACTGCTCCCATGCAGTTACATTGCTGTCACTTTGGTTTTTAACTATAATTTAAACTACTTTTGGCTGTGTACAGGCGTTCTGAGGAGCCTTTCTGCCTTGCTTTCCTCCATGCTTACTCACTGCAGATTTGCAAAGGGTGCAAAACTAAGTAGTGGTGATGACAATCACACCAAAAACTAATTTGGCTACTGATGCATGTGAAATCCTCTGCACTGCTTTTCGTTTCACGCTTTGGGCCAGGAAGATGTTATTGGAGGCAACAAACACTGCCTATACGAAACAGCAGAGGCTGCTCAGGTCCTGCTGCAGTTAAGCAACGTTGCAAGGAGTTTATTTAGACAGGAGCATGAAACAGACAGGGAACATAACCTGAATGCACAGTTTGAATATTGTACAAGCTGCTCTTTGCATATAGCTAGTAACGTAGGAAAGAGTGTTCTGTTTGAGAAGGTAGATGTTAAAATACTCTCTTCTTAAAATATATATACATATATATTTTTTTGGATGCTTGAGAAAGTATTTTGACAATTGTAGTCTTATCTCAAATTAGATTTTTCAGGTGTCAAGAATCTCAGAAGAAACCTTATTTTCTTGTAGCATTTTGATTTCCCACAGGAGTAGCGCGTTGAGTAGTCTCATGTTGATACAGCTCATTGCAGGAAAAGAAAAATATGTTCCTTTCTCATTTTTAATCAAGATATTAAGAATACAAAACTATTGCTGCTTCACTTTCACTCCATTGCTGCTCATTAATGTGTATTTAATGTCACTTCAGTGTTTTGCCCCAGAAGAACATTAGCCTTGAATCTATCTAAAGCATGCAAGTCTTTTCCTTGCCTTCACTGTGAGCTTCATCAGATCCCAGTAGGTTAATTAGGGTACAGGAAGCAAATAGTTCCCAGACTTTTCCCCTCTCTTCCCAATTAAGGAATAAAAAGCTTGGAATTGCTCATCCAGTATTCCCATAAACTGCAATTTAAGGGTTGGGCTAGAAAAATGGAAGAACCAAAGTGCAGAATCCAATCGTAGCACAGGAGCAGACGACAGGATGATGCGCAGCACCAGAAGGTCAAAACCAGTGTTTAAAACAGTTCAGGTTTGATCCCACAGGGCTTGAGCTCTGCCAGGGGATACCTTAATGCAGATGCCACAGCTAAAGTTTCATGTATTTCCCTTGCATTTAGTGCAGTGGCAGTGACAGCCAAATACTTAAATCCTCTGCTGTAAGTATTTAAGAGCCAGGCTGTCTGTGAGGGTATATTGACACTGCATACTCAAATCAACAGAGCTTTGCTGCTTTATACAAACTGAGGATCCAGGCCATAACTTCATAAAAACCATAGCTCCTTTTTCACTCACTCAGAAGCCAGCTGATGGTAGGAGCCTCCTCCTCTCCTCTGGTGTTAGCTTCCAGTGCCAACCTTACCATGAAAGTGATAACTTACAAACAAGTGGCTGTTTACCAGAATTCTGCAGGAATTAGGGCAAAGCAAGCTGTAATTGTGCAAACCAGAGGGTAGAAGGGATGCTAAAGCACGATTTCCAAGCATATCCTATTCAATCTGCAGCCCTGAGCCCCCCAGGTAGCAATATCTCAGGGATGTGGGTGCCATCGTCTTAGTTAAAGTGCAGCTCTTGGATACACAGAGGATGGGGAGGTGGTTGGGTACAGCACTGTGACAAAGAGCCTCTTCACTTAGCTCCTGCGCACTGCACTGGATGCGAGGGGTTGTAAACTTCTCCCTCTGGGTTGCATGGGTCCTTACAGATACCTGATCCATGATCCAGAGCCAAGAGAAACAGAGGAAGATTTCTCACTATTCCCTCAAGCTTGGGATGAAGCTGTGCAAAGGCTGCTCCCCTGCCACTGCCTCAATGAGGGCTTTGAAGGCTCATACAGTGTTGAGCCCTTCCAGTTCTGATTTAAGAAATGCATGCAGAAGCAGGGTGAGATTTAGCATCTGGTTATATTCATATTCATTTCAAAGAGAGATGCTCGAGTTAAGCTGTAGCTGACTAACCCCCATTTAAACCTGGAGCTGGAAGTTAGCTTGCGCTGCTTCACCACTTAAAATGGACTGAAAGGTTTCGAAAGGAAGCCTTAATAGGTTTATTTTGTCCTTTGTTTTTTAAAAAGGCCTAAGCATAGAGGGAATTATTTGAACATCAAAGCTATCCATGAAATTATAGTGGCAGCAGACGTGCTTGAAACAGTGAATGACCAAACAACACCAAAGCAGTTGATGCAATTGGCTGCATACACTCTGAATTACTCTACTTGCTTCTCACCACTTCCTCACACACTTGTTCCCTGGGGAATATTCATGACCCATACATTCTTCATAACAAAATTACTTCCCATTCAGATGTATTTTCTCCAGTTTCTGTGGACATCTCTTCAAACTTGATGTTATCAATGGATCCTTCTTTTTTTCCTCCATTTTAAACCTGATGTACCATTCTGTTTCTTATGTTTTTGTAAGTGTGAGCAGATCGTATTTATTTGAGAAATAATGTTTGCTGTTTCAAAAGACAATAATTGTATTGCCAAAAATCGCTGTAATTACCTGTGACATCTGTATTTTTTTATTTTGGGGGAAGGGGTTGGTTGTTTTTAAATCTCAGTTTCGAGTGCTAACAACTGTTGCAACAACCACTGCATTTTAATTTGCTTCTGACATTAAATGGATTTCTCTGAAGTCGGACACAAGTGTCTCAGAGATGATTTAACAAAGACGCTGACCTTGCTCTTCCTATTTGAATGTGCCTCCCATGCCTGTTGGATTTTGACAGAGTGAATATCCCTTCAATGGAGGGCTACCTCAGGACCGTATTTTCAGTGGCTCCAGCAGGATGCAGGTAGGAAAAACATCCATGCTGGATGTACAGCTAGAGAACAGCTACACTGGAACTTAGAAACAAGAGTCAGGGCTGCTTCTCCGTTTGGGTTGCAATGCTGCCCTCACCACATGCCATCACCAGGATGCCCTCCTGGAGGGGTGTAAGCCTCAGAAACATCAAGGAGAACGGGCAATTTGAGCTGGATTACACTAACTCACCACTGAAGATGAAGTTCATTTATTCGTCAGCAGATGGCACAAAACCATCTCGAGTCTGGGTTTCCCTCTGGGTTAGAAGGGGCGACTTCAGCGCTGCTGCTGCTGCTTGAGGGCTGTTTCCCCCTTTACTGTCAGGTTTAGACGTGTGGAACTGGAAGCACAGCTTTTAAACCGAAGCAGTGCTTACCTTTACAACGCACATCTTCTGAGGTATGAGCTTTATAAATCCAGCAGGAGTTTCATCAGCCAGGGAGACTTCCCTTTCAAACCAAGTGTGCACATTAAATTTTATGGCCTACAGCTCTGTTTTACCATTAAACCGATGATATTATCATTAACATAAAACCCATAGCTATTATCAATAAAATACATGCTAATAGAATTAGAGGTTCTGCCAAAACCTTTTTGGAAATCAACTACACGTGGCTACATCATGAAACAAGGCTCTGCCTACAGCACACTTGGATAAACCCTGTGATGTTACTGGCCATTACACACCAAGAGACACAAAAAGCTTTGCTTTGTCCCTATAGTCAGACCTGCAAGGGGACACGGGAAACCAGATTCTGCCCCAGGTCCTTGCGGACCGTCCCTCTTCCTTTCATTCCATGGAGAGCCACAAGCCACACACAGATGATTATCTGCCTCTCCTTATCTGTTTTGCCAGGGTCCCTGCCATCAGAGCAAACCTCCCCTGTATGTGGCTGTACAAGGTTCAGAGCAACACACAAGTCTTTTCCAAGGGATTTAAACTGCACAGATGGGTCTTCAAGCAATCACTGCACAACAGCAGTGTCCCTCAAATAATCTCTGCCATCCTCAGAATTAATCCCTGCACACAGTGCACCCATAGGCCCATGTTTCTCTTAACCTTTACCTGCTTCCCCTACGTATACATCTCTCCCCCTGTTCACTGTATGGGTGTTGAGCAAGAGAGAGCTGGAGGGGGTGCAGTGTGAAGTGCCCCCGGTGCTGTTACCCACTAGTTTCATTCTAGGGGCCTGTGAGCTCACCAAGTTCTCAGCAGTCGCCAACACATAGGAAACGTGGGATGGGGGAGAGGAGAGTGGAACAGCAGAGAGAAGGAAAGGAGGCAGAGACCCCAGCAGTGATGAAGTCATGGTAAATCTGCTCCCCCCCATGCTGAAAAGGGACCCGCTGCACACTGCAGCCCCAGCAGAGAGAGGAAGTCAGCCCACACCACAGCATGACTTTCACCAGCGTGCTGCACATCACAGCTCTGTTCCTGATGCAAGGTAAGCGATTATGCATTGCCTTAGCCCATCTCCCCTTTGCAAGCAGCCCAGCTGGGAGAACTCCATTTCCAGGTTTCAGCACATCATGTGCAAGGCAGCTTTGCTGCTGCTGTGTTCTTGCTGACAATGCCAGATTGTCACCCTATTTCCAAAGCACACCGGTGCTGAATTCCAGCTGACTCCTAAACCCAGTATCAATGAGCGTGATTTGCCTCCTAGCAGCTTACTGCATACTTAATGCCGCAAAGACCTTAACTTTGAACAGTGGAGCACTGCTTGCTTTCCATGGCGTGGGTATCTGTGTCTGCCTTTGCTCATGTATTGTGTAGAAAGAGGCTACTACAAGAAGTTAGAGCAATTTAGAATGCACTTGCAAAGTACTTGGAAAACTGAAAGCCCTTTAAATACTCAATCTCCTTACTCCTAGTAGAGGATGTAGCTTAAACCTCCTTTACTAATCTCCTGTCCTCCATATACAGGAGAGTGAGAGGATAATAGTTGACCATGTCAAATAAGGAAAGATGTAAGTAAGGACAGCAGCAAGATGGGTATCTACAGCTCAGGATCCTTGCGGATTTCACTCCTGACTTTTTGCCACATCAAATTTCAGTGTCTAAACAGCAATGGAACTGGATCTTTACACCATTGAATGTATTTAGCAGCAGTCCAGTCTTACAGGTGTAAGTTGCACCAAGTTCACCATGCGCTTTCTGATGACTAAAATAGCATCCAGAGGCATGAACCATTCTGCTCAGCTGCATCCTGCAATTCCTAGCAAGAAATTCCTGCCCTTCTTGCCAAGAAGATGGATATAGCACAGTACCTGATGATGTATAGCACAGTACCTGATGTATAGCACAGTACCTGATGCCAGACTAATTTTTCCAGGGATCCACACAGCACAAGAACATTTATAGCTGGCATGGGAGCATCACCCATGCCCCAGTGACCGTACTGTAGTGGGTTACAGTGGCTTGAAGGCACATCAAACCGTCCTCTACAAAAGGGGATTTGACCTGTGAGTCATGGTCTAAATGAAGCCATGCTCTCCCATGGAAACTATATATATGCTGGTTCTGGGGGCTGCTTTTCTCTGCTTTAGAAAGGCAAGAACAACCCCTCTTTTTCTTGTTCAGTCGTGCTGCTCTCACCTCAGAAGGTGTGACTTGAAAGACCCCACATTGCTGTTACTGACAGGAAACCATCACTATAAAAGGGCCCCATGGAAAACCACAGACAAGGCCCTCTGCTACCTTACCAACATGCACCTCCTGGCACAGGTCTTCACAAAGGGAACCCATGCAAGGAGCTTTGCCTTTTCTACTGCTCCTCTGCAAATGACCCCCACATAGGACATAGCCAGAGAAACAAGCTGAGACACTAACCCTAGGAAATGGAGGTGGACTCAAGAACAAATAGAAGCCAAAGACACTGATAAGCCATATGTGATGGTAGATCAGATACAGCCACTCTTAAGGTCCTGTCATGCTTGCACAACTAAAGGGTGAGGCATGGCAACAGATCCTTATGGGAAAATACTGTCTTACAGGGAGACAAGTCCTCCCTCTGATTTTAGTGATAAAGAATTTGGTCCAGCAAGAATACCCTATGATAGTTTGATTTTAAAATGGTTTAAGAACATTAAAAGCTTCCCTGAAGGCCAGAAATACTCATTTCCCCAAACTGCAATGCTCATGGACACAGTAAGCACTTGCAGCAAACAGCTACCTGGAAAAGAAAACCAAAGCACACAAAACAGGAATGAAAAATATAACCCTCTTCCTACCTATTTACTTCTCTCTGACCCAGACACTGCTCTTGGTCATTTCTCCAGGGCAGGATTTTTTTTCCCCTGGAGAAGGTGATTTATTCCAGGTCATCCAATATTGTCACAAAATGTATTATATGGCTTGGAATGCTGACAGGGAAAAACCCACTTTACTGCCCATCTATAAAACGAACTGGGAGAATGGCATTTCATTTTAGTAATCTATGCCAAGCCAGGTTTGTGGATTTCATCTTCAGAAAGTCTCAAAACCAGCTCAAAGCAGTTGCAGCATCACAATGAAAACCTCATTTTTCAGAGATCTGACCATAGAATCATAGAATGGCTTGGATTGCAAGGGACCTTAAGATCACCTAGTTCCCACATCCCTACCATGGGCAGGGATGCTTCACACTAGACCATCGCTGCTCAGTCACGCATGCTTGTAAATCAGGTTTAACAGCTCCAGAATAGAGCATAGAATAATGAGTAATAATGTTTGTGTTAGCATACAGGGAGAACATGCATTAAATGGGTCTGCTATCAATTCTTCATTGACTCATGGAATAACATCTAATAACTAAACGTGGTTGTGCTAGCAGGTAAAGATCACAAACCTTTGGTACAAAGTGGCTGTGATGACCTGCCTAACGACTGTGATTTACTTATATCAGTACAATGATATTGGCAAGAAGAACCTTTACACCCTTGAAAGAAGGAAAGTTGGCACAATGCTGTGTGTGAAACTGCTGCTTTACTTCAGGTCACATTTCAATACTTGTTCCCCCCAACCCCGGCCTCATCTCTGGCAGGGGATTTTCCAGATGCTGGAGGTGAAACCATAACTCTAAAGGAAGGAGAGGACCTGAACCTCCGCTGCGCCCTCAGCAGTGATGATGGGTCTGCCCTGCAGTGGTTAAACCCTCATGGGTTTGCCATTTTTCTCAACACCCAGCGGGGTAAGTGTGAAAACCAAGTGCAACACTTGCCACATGGGGCTGGAGGGTCACTCATAGGGCTTTCCAGCTCCTACCCATGGCCAGTCTGACTCACCTCCTACCCAACACTCGAGATGGTTTTACACTCAGCCCCTTTCTGGCAGGAAGCTGATGAAATGGAAACCCTCACAAGAGTGCTCTGGTGCTAGAGCTTTTAGTAATGAACTGTAGTTACCACCAGCACCAAGGCATTAGCACAAAAACACACTTTTACCTTATAAGAGAGACAGGAATGGACATGCCTGAAAGCCCTGGGTACTCTCCTGCTCATCAGGGAATCTGATGTAGTGCATCCAGAGGAAATCTTCAGGAAACAAGCAGTGATTTCTAAAATGCTCTGATAAGGCCAAAGTTACAATTACTGTGTTCCCTTCCACTCCCTACCCCTTATATCTCTGTCTGTATCTCTCCTCCTCTTGGTCCACAATTAGACACATGATACAACATCCACAAGGACTAGAGTTTGCAAAGCGTTTGGATCCAAGTCAGACACACTGAATACATTCCTTTTGCAATACAAAAGGAAACAGTCCTCATTTAGAGAGTGGCCAGACTTTACACTGTGCATAGACATTTTCGTTCTGAATTACCACTGTGGATGCTGGTCACATTGCTTCTCCAATAAACCACTTCACGAATCAGTTCCCTCCAGTCTTATGGTAGCTAAAAATATTACCAGCTGCCTACCAGTTTTAGGGTGATATCAAAATCCTTTCATATTTAATCACTACCATAAATTGTAGCACTGTTGGGATTTTCTCCCAAGGCCACATTTTTACAAGACCCCAGCTTTAGAGTAAAAAGAGAGCTTTGGAGGTCTTTTTCTCCCTAAGGGTTGGTACACAATCCCAGTTTCAGTTCAATGTAAGGGCAGACAGTTACACTTTCTGTGCTGTGATTGTGGGAAAAGTCCATGTGACTTAATGCCTGAGGACTCCCATGGGACATCCATGAAGCAAAACTAGAAGTCGAGAGAGAGAAAGGGGGTTGTACAGCAGAGAATGAACACCCTTATTAAAATCAAGGTAATTAGACAAATATAAGGGAAGCAAACCAGCCAATTATCAAGCAGTTAATAAAGAGGTGTGTGCTGACCACAGTGTTCACTTATACATCACAAAATGCACCCAAAGAGGGAAGTGATTTTTTTCAAGACCAAATAAAGGCTTGGAGAATGAGGAAGGGAAAGCTCCTCAGTTCATGTATCTGTGCTCTATATTCAAAGGTCTGACCACATATCATGTCCTCACCCCACAATGGTTGCTTGTATTTATACATCTAGACACATAAAGAACCCAGATTGCTTTGCATTAAGATCCCCCTGAAAATAAAAGCAAGAAAGAATGGCATGTTCCTGTCTGGCATCACACACCCTCCTTTCTTCAGTTTCCTGCTGCCTATGTACTAGTGCAGCATCAGTGAGGAATGCTTCGTGCTGGAACTGCTCCTCTATGTCAAATGCTGATGGGTTAAAAAATGCCAAACAGAAAATGATCCTCCTGCGTTAATGCTTTGATGATCTGTCTTTCTCTTCTGTAGCTACACACATATCAAGCTGGCTTTTATTTTCCTTACAGCTTTAAGAGATCAGAGATACAAACTTATCCATTATTCAAAGGATGAATTATCCATCCAACTGTCTAACATAACAGTGCATGATGAAGGTGTATATAAATGCTTCTACTATGGCATCCCCTTCAAAAGCAAGAACAAGACTGTTAAGGTATTAGGTAAGTTCTTTCACCCACTTTGTCCCAGCTTCTCAACTCCAGACCTGCTTTTTTGCATGCAATTGCATGGTGCTTTACACAACATAATCCTGGTCCTAGCTCAGTCCCCCCCCTCCAACAATGCTATGTATGAAACCAGTCATATAACCCAGTAGAAAGATGCTTTATAACTGATTCAAAATCTTACTGTTGCAGCTGCTCCTTCTAATCCAGTACTGGAAGTATCCAGAAACACAGAAAGAAGCGTTATACTGTCTTGCTATACCCAAGGATGCAAACCACAGGCCCAGATTACCTGGCTGTTGGACAACGGGATAGAACTCCCTGGTATGTGTTAAAGGACAAGGGACTGATTACTAACAATTGCTTCTTATCCATCTTTACCTTGGAAGGTAAAACACCTTCTGGGACCATCACTCACTCACTGAGTACAACCTGGCCCCGTGGTGCAGGGTGGGAGAAAACCCAGCACTGGATTCTAGTGTTTGTGCAAGGGAGAGGGCTCATCTGCTTTGCTCACACTCGGTGCAGAACAGTAACACTTGGCACCAAAACCCTTTGAAAGTCAGGAGTCATTTTCCAGTGGAATAAAGTGAAACCCAAACTCTGGAGGCACAATTTCCAAAGCCTGGATATAAAGTCAGTTAACAAACCCATTTTTACTATTTCTATGTTGTAAGCTGCTTTGTTGAGCAGCTCACACAAACACCATCAGCCTCTCCCATACTGATCTGCTCCAAGCCACTAGCAGACACAGGAAGAGAGCTCAGGAAACAAGATCCCACACCACCCTACAACACTGCCCCAGTGAGAGGTCTGCACGCATCTGGGTGGACACACATGAGGAACAAAACCCCTACATAGCTCAAATTAACTCATGTGCTATGTAAGTAGCTGCTCCAAAGGCCATGTTCTAGTAACAGCTACATTATTAGCTACCTGTAGCAGAGCAGAGAGGAAATGCACGCCTGTATCAAAGCATGAGGAAAATACCCATAAATGCACTCTTTTCTTTCACATAGTAGCCAGCTCTTAGTTGTATTTTGCATCATCAAGCAACATATTCAAAGCTTAACCTATAGTCTTCCCCCACACCCCCAGACAGCTTGTTTTAACTAAGAACTCTAGAAAACAGCAGAGAAGTGTGTTAGCTTGAATATAGCTAGAAATCAAGACTAAGGAATAAATCCAGGCTGCCAGATTCACAGGCGCTAATGCAACCACATAAAGCCCTATGCTTAAAGGAACTGTATTAAGGGGAAGCAGTGCAGCTGGTAAGTGAACCCCACAAAAGCCAGGGCAGAAAGCTATCTGTGATTGCAGGTAAAAGATGCTCTGAGGCAGTGCATGGGGCTTGGAAAAGCAAGTTCTAAAATCCTGCATGTGTTTGGGAAGAGCTGGGCTGTGTGACACTAAGGTCTTGGGGGAACATCAGCTATGAAGTTATGAAGAGCCCAGGGAAGCAATATGTCACCTCATACATACATTTTTGCCAGTGTTCTTCTAAAAACAGGAGGTTTCCTTAAACTTGAAACCCCCTCAGTTCTGGCCTGACAATGTATGTTATTTGTAAGATGACAACTCGGACACAAGCCACCTCCCAGAACACATAAAGCCAACCATGCTTTTACCCATTCCCATTAACAAAAACCTACACTTACCTTTATCTTCTCCTTGCCTTGTAGCACTAACCCAGTCAACTGTTACAGCAAACCATACCAGTGGGAACTATCCATCCTAAATCACTGCTGCTCAGACTTTCTGTGTGCTTCTTTCCTTTTTGAGGATGACTGAAGCAACACTCCTCCCTTCTCATCCCCAACCTTAATTACTTACTGCAAACATTTATATTAGTCACTAAATAGCTAATACACCTTAATTACTGGCAGCTTCTTGGTTCCACCAGGGCTCAGTAGGGGCAACCCAGCTGTAATTACTGAGCTGTTGCTGGCAAAGATTCTTTCCTTGCTAACAAAACCACTTTGAAATCCTTTTGAGCTCTTACGTGACCCTGCTGGGGATGGGGAAAAGAGCTGGGAAGTACCAGGTTATGTGATACAGCAAATTACCTGTGAAGGCTAAGTTGGAAACAAGGGATTTCTTTCATTTATAAAGTTAGGGTTACCAATAAAGTTATTTATTACCAAGGGTAACAGATCAGGAGAAATCATCAGTTTGTTTCCAGAGAACCTCTACATTATGAACAGAAAAACTCCCAGGCAATTTGTGTTGGTCAATATGCACAAATACTGCACAACTGCTTTTTATGTTTGGGGTAACAAACACACAGCTCTTAAGACACATATTTAATGCTTCTGGATATCCCATAGCAGAGCCAGAACTTTGCTAGATCTCAGTCATGCTGGAAAACAGCAGGTCCTTGCTCTCAGGCTCCTCACAAGCCATGCATGGCTGTGTCACACAGCAGAGCCATTCATCCCATTCAAGAAGGGCCACAAATCAGTGTTTGGTGTCTGAACATTGCAGTGAAGGTGAATTTCCCCACATTAGTTGTGAAACCCAGCAGAGGCAGTGAGGTCTGCACTTAAACAGTGACGAGGCAAAAACCATGACCTTGCTGCCTTTGGGCCCCCATGTAATCCATTTACACAGTGAATCACTTGTGCCCAGTAATCAGGTGCTGCTTTAGCACAGCAAAGTAATGCAGATTGTGCCTGGAAGGTTTTTCTTTCAATTGCTCTTGACTAGAAAGCACTTAAATGTTGTCTTCCAATGGGTGTATAGGTGACACTAAGCACAAGTTAGAAGCTGATGGGAAGAAATGGACCTCAACCAGCACACTGACAGTCCTTGCCTATGGGCCCAATTCAACAGCCAGCTGCATCATTCACCACCAAGCACTAAGAGAAGAGAAGCTGATGGCATCTTTCCCATTTGAGGACCTTGCTAGGACAGGTACTGCAGGCTCCTTCAGCAGTCCTTATCCCGTTTTACCACTTTGAGGTGGTGAAAGTTAGCAGATTCACATGCAAAGCTGAAGCCCATAGTCTACTGCCCATGTGTGGAATCTATTTTCACACTGGGGCAAAAGCAGAATGCCAAACTAAGATTTGGGGGCTTTAACTACCACATAGGGTAAATACTGTAAACTAACAGTAAGTGGAGCTGCTTGTCTAATAGTTCACAGACTAGAGTTTACTTTCTGCCTGTTTACTTGTCTTTAGGATGGATCTTATTATTCTTACTTCCTTCTTCCTTCGACTGCTTCATTCAACAAGTACTTATAAAGTGCTCTGAAAGTTGTGCTTTCTTTGTTTTTTTTTCAGTGGCAAAAACAAATCCAGCACCATCTAACCCAGAGGTGGATACAGGTGTCTCTGAGAACGATCAAACTACAGGTAGGCTTTAGCTGCCTGGCCTCTTCTTAATTCATGCCCTCATTTCATAGTGTTGATTCAGAGGACAGGGAAGCTGAAGGTGGGAGGATAGGAGTGGGAGTCTAACCAATGGAGAACCCAAACAGCCCAGAGCATAGAGCATACAGGGCAGGTTTCATTTTTGTCACGGTTTAAGCATCAATTTGTCGTGGTTTCAAGCATCAGTTCAATGGCAAAGTGTGTCTTCTGAGGTTTGTCTTGTGTTTGGGTAAGTTCCTTCAGGATCCGAACAACCAACCTCTTCTGCAGTACCAGAGGATCCACTAGTTCCCAGCTCAGCAGCAACACCGACCCATCAAACCCTCCAACCAGACATCACATCTACTTGTAAGTTTGCTCACATCAAGTTACCAAATGCTACTAAGAGCAGCGTTACATTCGCCATTACAAACAAGCACATAACATAAACCGCAGCATTTCTTGCTTGTGCGAGGAGAACTCAGTTTTGTGAAAGCAAAGTCTCTGTTGATAGATGCAGAACAGAAGCAGTAGCCAAATGGGCCACTCCTGCAGCATGGTGTGAGGCCAGGCTGGGATTTCTCTGGACGGCTGCACTAGATGGCACTGTGCAACAACGGTTCAGGTTGCAGTCAGTGAACTGGGGAGCTGTTTCCAGCAGAAGAATGAAGAGCTCCGCTGCCCAAATCGCTTGGGTGGACACCTTGTGTGACAGGCCCTGCAGAGAGAATCAATTGGTTGTGTTAGAATTGCAAGAACCCTTTGTTCGTAGTTGTTTAAAAGTGCTACATCAGTGATTACAAGCACTAAAGAATGGCTACGATCTGATAAACAGATCGCATATATGTTGATAAACATGCTTAGAAAGGGAGGTTGAATGCTTCAACAGGTCTTGAGAAGGAACACATCTCTTATGAATGTAAAGTTTCGGTAGACACAGCCCACGTTATCACTTTAGTTTTACAAACCAAGTTCAATCACCCAAGGATGTGTTGTCTGTGCGTGTAAGGAAGGCAGAGCTCACCTCTGTGTTTGTACAGGGTCTGAGGTTACACCAGCTGCAGCAGGAAAGGAAGAATTGGCTGGTTCATCGAGTTTCCATGTCCCCAGTGGAATGAATTCACATCATCAGGCATGGGTGGTGGTGGCATAGGATGGGGTGACTGCCCACTGGGAGCTATGAAGTCAATAAAAGTGTAGTCAGGGATATGAATACCACAAACCAATTTAAGTCTACTTTAAGGCAAAGGATACATGCATATTCCTGGTTTTGCAAGCAAGAGAACAAACTGATGGGCAGGGAAACCCCGCAAATGACCAAAGAGTCAGAGCTCAGCTTTGTTTTACTTTGGCTGTAAATGGAAACCATTGAGTTCAGCAATGTGTGAGACAGTGAGGATTTTCTGTTCATAAAGCGTAGGTGGTCTTCAGATGAAAACAAAATGCAGTAGTAAGGAAGTGAGCACAGAGCTTTGAGACAGAGACTCCAAAAGTCCTTTTCTGTTGCAGTACCAGACGCCCTGGGCTTCAAAGCTCTTGGGAAAATATGTATTTCTTAAGCATCCCTTTGCCTTTCAGAGAAATACTGTTCTCCTTTCTATTCCCCCAGGGACTGAAGCAGCAGTTGGTGGCAATGTCACAGAAGGGGAAGTTTCCAGGACAGAAACCCTGCTACCGAGGGGAAATGTAACTGTGATTTGCACCCTCACCTCTGGTATGAACTCTTAATGATAGCTCCCAAACATGCAGTGAGCTGTCTTACACCAACCTGGTTCTCTCTGACCATGTATCCACCTCCAAACCTTTTGTCAGTACACTAGGGTAATGCTGGCTTGCAATCCAGGGGAGAGACCCCAGAAACATAACTGGTTTTATCAGCTAGAAAAAGCATGAACCCACTTATTTCAGTCAAGTTTTCTTATTCATACAAGAAGAAATAATTTGTCTCACATCCTAAAACTTAAATCCAATAAGGTGACTTCTGCTCTTGCACCATGTTCATGTGGCCTGGTCCAGGATATAACTTATCTTAATTACCAGAGACTCACAGGAAGCTATTTAACAATACAAATGCCTTCTTCTCTTACAGACAAAGACGTGAAATCTGAAAGCATGGAAAAGAAAGAGAAAAATCTCTTGCTGCCCATCTTGGTGGCTGTTCTGATTTTCGTGCTGCTCATCATTGTCCTGCTTTTTGTGAGGAAGCTGAAGAAAGCTCATGGAGTGTGGAAGAGAGGTGGGTGATAGCCCTGTTCAAGCAACTCCTGACATTGCTTAATTCAGCAGGGCTGGAGAGCTGAGGAGACTGCCACAGCTCCTCCAACCCCTGGTTACATGTCCTTCTCCCATAGACAGTGACCATAAATTAGACAGTGACCATGACTTACTGCAAACAACGGTTGAAGAGTCCCTGTAACTGGTGGTCTGAGGCCACTGACACGAGGTGTCACAAAAAACCCTATGAAATTGTTGTCTTCAGTATGTTTCTTAGATGGTCAACATGATTAAATCCCTTTTTTATAACTAGTCTCTCAGATTCTCTATGCTCGATGCAGACAGCGAGCAATGGTCATGGGAAAACCTCACCATCTTAATTACATTTGTTTTCTGTGCAGAAAATGATGTTTCAGACCAGACTCTGGAGAGTTATAAATCCAAATCTAATGAAGACAGTCCAGGCCATGAGAAGAACAGACAAGGTAAAGAGCTTTAACTGATGTAAACTAATTCCTGTTCAAGCCTTGCTACTGAACATATATAAGAATACATATGCAAGACATTTAAACCACTTCTAGTACAAAGTAGTGCCTTGAGTATCGTGTAGCCTGCAGTAGGCCACCTCATGTTTCCCAGTCTTCACTGTGATGGATGCCCTAACAATATCTAGAGATGCATGTCATCTTTTATTGCTCTATAACACTAATTCATATGTATTTCCAGCAGGTACACCATCCCCCTTTACAAAATCAGTAATAAATGTGTGTTCATCTTTCAGGTGCCAATCAGAAGTCCAACATGCAATATGTAACAGCAGGATATGTGGAAACAATGCAGAAGAATCCCAGAGACAAAACCATTGCAATAAGTGAGAAACTGTTTGGATGTGGAAAGGAAACAAATGTATAGCTATAGTAGATCTGTACGATGTGCAGAAACACCAGTGTTTCCTGATCTTCATATTACAGCATTCAGGTACCAATATGATTTCAAGGAGCAGAACTACAAACAGCTACCCTCAACCCAAAACCCGCTTTGGACTGCTTTCCTTTAAACAGTGGGGCAGGTAGATAGGACTGGTGGTCCTAGAAACCTATTAGCAATGAAGACAGCGATTTATCTGTAGTCCTCAAAGGATTTAAATAACCACTGCCAGAAACAGAGCTCATCAGTCCTGTCTCAGATCCTACCAGCAGTGAGGGTCTTGGCAAAGGAACATGCAGGTATTCCAAGGACTGCAGGATATGAAGACATTCATGTAATTCTGCAAGCATGGGACTGAGCAGGAAACCCTGGGAGCTGCAGACCTACTGGCACTTGTGTTGCCTTATTCTCACCCCAAACCTGAAGATCCAGCTGTATTTAACCAAGGAAGAAAGCATCCTGATGACCAAAGAGTTAAAAACACCAAGGTTGCTCCCCCATGCTAGAACTCCTGCTTTAGTTTCTCACCTGTACAATGGCAGCATCATTCTGTGCCATGCCAGACTGCATCAGCACTAGTTTGCAAGGGGCTCTGAAACCAGAACATCTGGGTACTACACTTGTACTCCCACGTCATCTAAACTTCCAGGGGTGTCACTGAGACTATGGAAGCTTTCAAACGTGGGTTATCAAAGGTGGAGATGATATTGCATACGGGACTCCCCAGATCCAGGGAGAAAGTCAGCAGGCAATCTAGGAGAATCAATGAGACTTTATATCCTCACAGCCCCGCTATGCCATCACCGGGAACCTTTTCTATGTGGGGAAGATAAAACTGAACTCCTAAAATAAAGAGAATTTACATTACAGCAGACAGCTGTGTTTATTTTTCCTGCTAGAGACGATTATTCCCCACTGTAAGCAAGAAGCTGAACACTGGGTTTGGGCCCCGAATTAAATACATGCCCTTGAAGTGGCTGCTATTATATATGATATAATAAATCTCGTATCACTTTAAAGTGGCTTTGTCCTGCAGCTCCCCCCCCCCCCTCCGCCCTCGCTGTTGGTGGATGCTGCGCGTCCTCCGGCGTGGCCATGGCAACGGCGAGACGCGGCGGAGCGGTAGGCAACGGGCCGCGCTTAGGGACAGGCCCTGAGGCAGAGCTGAGACCTATAAGGGTAATGGGACTAGGGAGAGGGAACTGGGGAGATGGTATTAGGGTGAGGGAACTGGGGGGAAGGCCTCGGGGGGGGCGGCAGGCCTGCCTTCAGGCTGGAGGGAGCACCAGGGGTAGGGCTCAGGACAGGCTGTGGATGCTGCCCACTGAAAGGCAGTTCAGACAGAAGGTTCTTTGCTGGTGCTGGGCTTTCCTCTTCGGGCTGCAGGGTGTGTGCCACTTCCCATCTCTGATCCATGATGGGAGCAGTGGATACAGGGTGTCCCCCCAGGTGTAAAAGGCCTCCAGCGGGTAAACTCATGTGATAAACACCCTGAAAAGTTAGAAATCATACTCTACATTTCCATATCTTAACAGCTGCCCATGTACTAAAGCAAAGCTCCCCCTGTAGCTTTAAAGGGATGGGTCCCACCTGTGTACATCCTGCTGTAAGCACTGAAATTCACTGTGTGCACTGAAACCGACTAGTGTACATTTCCTCTCAAATCACTGCCACTCACTGTGGCAGTGTCACACACACATTCCCACACTGTGTCTTCTAAGTGTCTAGAGGGGAGGACGACTTGGGAACATCTAAATGCAACCAAATGAAAAGAAGCTGTCTTCCTAAATTAAGAAGAAAATGTGGTTTTGCTGTCACACACTTTCTTGCTGATAGTTTACATGTCAGAGATGGTGTAAAGTCGAATAAGAACATGTAAAATTCCTTTTGCCCCTGTTTTTCAACTAAAACTGTTTTGGTTTGCTTTCTTTTTTCATAAGCTATTTATACTCAATTAGCTTTGTTACCACTAATAGTTTAAGATAGATTTTATGGCAAGAAGTGATGCATTTGCTGCATAAGGTAGATTTTATAGCAAGAAGTGATGCATTTGCTGCATAGGGTCCTTGCTATTAACTTACAGCAACAAATGAGAGTCTGCTTTCTGCCTTCCAGAGCACCCAGCAGGCTTTGGCAGGCTTTGCCAATAAAGAAATCAAGAACCAGCACCAACACATCCTCTTTTCTTTCCATATAGAAAGACCCATACTGAGCAAACTGAGCCACTTCCTCTTAGACAAAAATTGGTGGGTTGCACAAGTAGAGTTTGTCCTTGCAGCTGTGTAAATCTAAACTGAACATTTCCAGGGTTACTGTCACCTTTAAACATTGTTTAGAAAACGCTCACTGGGTACATCAAATGAAATGCAATTTGCAGTCATACGCATAAAATGTTTAACACTGAATAAATTGGGAATAATTCTCAAGTTTAAAGGGATTAAATTAAACCCGAAGGAATAATAATGCGCAGTTTCCATTTAATTGTCTACTTAAAATAAAATGGCAAACAAATGAAGGCTAAATGATTAATAGCATGCTTTTATTCACCTCCTCAACAGGCAAAATGGCCAGTTATTGAATATTTTATTGTGAGTGCAAATGATGTTAATTGTGCTAGAAACATGCTCTAATTTTTAGTAATTTTTTTTGACTGAATACTAGGCTGAATGTGAGGCTCTTCATTAAATGGAAATTTGATTTTATTTTGTTTGAACTTAGCCTAGTAAGTACTCAAATACAGTCCATTAACTGGAGCAAATATCACAGCATATACATATGAAACCCCCTCTCTACATCCATTACTAACCTCGGAATTTGAAGAGGAACCGCTGCATCTGTTGTCTGCATACAACACTTTTGTTCATGAGTACAGAGTCCATCTAACCTTTATATCAAGTTGGGGGGAGGAATAAAAGGTGCACTTTTTGTGTGCAGATGATTAGAGATGAAGGAGCTCTTCACACTCGTTTTGTTCCCGTGCGGTGACCTGGCCTGCATAATACAATTGAGCTGCTGTGCACACATTTCAGCACAATAGAACTCTTTAGCATTATACTGTTACTTGAATCATTGCAATTATATCACATACTTCTGTACTCATTTCAAAATATGGTCACCTATTTCTCTTTACCTGTGGTGTATGACAACTAGGAATAAGAATGTTTTCACCAGTGTAAACCATCTCATCTCCAGTTTAGAGTATACCACAGCACTAGTGCTTGCCTGAAATGGAAAGCATTGCTAGAGAAACAGATTGTTGTATTATTAGAAGGCACTTGAAACATGGGCATAAGCATGTAACTAATTCAGAAAGGATGAATTAATGATTTCTGGAAATGTTAACATCATTAATTATGCCAAGGTTTGGAAAATCCAGCAGGTCAGTACATTTCTTTTAACAGGGTCTAAAGAGTCAACCAGGTTTCAGTGCCTATAAATGTCACTCTGAAGGGCTCACCATTTGTCAGTGACCAAGAAACCAGGGCTATATAGCAAGTCCACTTAAGGAAAAACAGTGTTTAAAGCTCTTTTCCTCCCATGCTCCTTACTCCTGCCACTGCCTGCACATCTTCTGGAAGCCAGTTTGTATGTATATTTATCTCAATTACAGCCTGCTTTTAAATGAGAAGTTATTTTAAGTCTATCATAGGGAGTTTTCTTTTTGAAACATCATGATGTTTTATAGGAGTCAGAATAGAATAAAAACCCAGAGCTGGAGGCTGTTGTTGCTTAGAAGGTCTCAAACTGACTGAGAGAGGGATTTTATCAGGAATATATCAGTTTTATAAATAATAAATAATAATAATCTTATAAGTAATAAATAATAGATAACAAATATCACTTCTCTTTCACACAGCAGAGCCCTTGAAGAATGAGCAACAGATACTCATTCTTTTGAAGGCTGCATCATTTTAAAGGAAACAACGGAAGCAGCACAATGTCATTTCATCTTTTAGCTGAATCTCTAATTTATTTGTGCTGAATTTAAGATAAAGTGGCTGTATGCACTGAAATTGCACCGTGAAATAATATAGAATTGATACAATCTATACATATATAATAATTTGTGCTTCTTTTTTTTACATAGGAAGCCACAGTCTGTGGACACGTATTTCAGCCCAATACAATTCAGTTTTCTGAGCTATGTCACACTGCTGAAGGAATCAGTATGGACTTTACACAAGGTCCATTTTACCTTCATTCCAATGGCTCCCCAGAAGAAAAGAATCAACGGGAGGCAAAGTCACAGGATTCATTGTCACAATTTGGTACAAAATTACTAAGCTTTCCTGAGCCAAATGCTGTGGTCAGCAACGAACCCCTTAGGCTACATACCAAAGGGAAGGAACCTGCAGAAAACCGTCATTGCGAAGGTAGTTCCAGGATACATGGAGATGCTTTTCCTCTTCGGATCCAAGCAGATCGACCACAAAGAGTGAAAAAAGACTTTGTGGCAAGAAACAAACGGACTTTAGGATTACGTTCAGAGATTGATTCCTATCTTCAGTTACACACCAGAAGGCAAGAGGTTCTTCAAAAGCAGGTAGGTAACTTTTACATGGTTTGTAATTGGTATAAATGGAGGACTGTCTAGTGTTAAAAGAGAATAGCTGCATGATCAGGTTTATAGGGGAATTAAATAGATTTACAACCTATCATGCAACTGATAACTTATGACTTCCAGTGAGGCTCTTGTTCATCTTGAATGGAATAATCAACAAGTCCTCAGTTACTCACAACCCCAGTGATGGCCTTGGTACAAGCCTGCTCAAGATACATATATCCTTGACCATGAAGCATGTTGCAGAGGTGATCTGTCACTGCTTTTTGATCTTGATATTAGAGAAATCATAGAATAACAGGATGGTTAGGGTTGCAGGAGAAAACCTTGATGTCTCCATTTGGCTTAAGAAGCTGTATTAGTGTTTTTTCCACCCACATTGATCATAACAAAAAAAGTGTATGTGAAGTTACAAATGAGTTTAAGAACCAGGAAAAACTCTGTGGTCACACTGCTTTCAAAGGCCATGCATTCTTACTTACCACTGTCATTTAGGATCACATATGCAGAAATATTCAATACCTGTTGGATCTGGGTGGTCAGACAACCCCTTACTTGCTTTCTCAGCCAAGCCAGGCCTTATCAGTCAGCAGATACAAGTCATGTACAGTACTTAGACTTGAATAGCCTAGCTTTCTTATGATTGACTGCAAAATGTCAGACAACTTCTATTAAGGATTAAGTGGAAATGTAATTACAGTTCCTAATGAACGATTATACATGAGTTTGTTGCTTTTACTTGCTACTTATTATGCATAATGGGAAGGTGGGAGTCACTGAATCACTCCACGAATTGTAGCATATCTTAACTTGTAAAACTACAGAGACTTCCTGCTTCAAGTGACACTGCTGCTTTCCAAGGCTAATGAACAGTTGACACAATATTAGAGGGCATCTGCTGACTACATTACAATGAGCGTTAGGGTGGACAAGCTTTTTTTCTAGCAGAGCTATTAAGAGTACTTGGGGTTTTTTTCAGTTATAATTTGGAGGATGGTAAAAATAATTAGTGCAGATTGATGCTAATTAAAGCTGTGTTGATATGATTATATTTACTGTTTGTGGAATTCTTAAAATGATTTCTGTGTAAGTATTGGAGCCAGGGATCAGGACTCGATTGTGTAGACACTGCTCAAAGATACATAATAGGAAAAAGAAGTATGTTAGAATCAGGGCTATATTCTAAGATTACCTTGGTGAAGCAGCCACAGGGTCAGCAGAGCTGTGACATAGCAGGAGCCAGGCAGCAAGCATGTAGAAAGATATGTTTCTTTCCTTCTTACATCCACAACAGCATCACTGCCTACTGTCAGCTACTGTTATAATTGCTGTGGATAGGCGTAGGAAAAAGTACTTACTTCTTGTTCTTAATTGAGACATCCATTGCTCCATCCTGTCGGAAGGGGTGAAAAAGGGCCTAATGGAAGCATCTTGTTGACCAGAGCAAAAGTAGTGTTTACAATGAAATAAGCACTTTGCATACCTCTTTCTTCAACTGACATAACATTACACCCTCATTCTTGCCAGAATTACAGCTGCAATCCCTGTGCATACAGACAGCAGGCTGTATGTACCAAAACATACCATAAATGTGTGTTGATCTGTATATTTATTAATTCATACAGCATTTTATAAAGCATCAAGTTCTTTGCAGTGTTGCCTGATTCTTTAAGAACCTGATGATGAGTTTCTTTGAGAGACAGATGGAGAGAGAAAGGGAGAGAAGCAGTGGCCCAATCTAGCTCAGCTGTACTCAATATGAGTTGCTTTCCTACCTACAAGCCCCTTACTTCAAAGCAAGGAACATAATGTACAATTTTTTAATGGCTCTAGACCAAGGCACTCAGACTCTCTGTGCACTGCGCCTTACCTCAGTGTAAACACCTAATCAAGATTGCCTGCGCTTCAACAATAGCAGCCAAATGCAATTCGAGAACCACAAGCCTTTGAAGTCCTCACTGCAAAGGCTGGTTTTCTAGTCTGGGATAATGACATGCCATGATTGCTGTCTTTGTTGTATCTTTTCAGTAGAGAAGCAATTATGGGCCTCAATTTAACAGAATAGGCATTACACAGCTTATGATTCTCAAAATGCAATTTCATTTGATCATTTTCTCAATTTGATTGGTATTAATAGAATAGTTCACAAAAAATGCTGGCAGAGGTTGTGTCCTGGTCCTCTTTCAAAGAGATAATGTAGAAGTATGCTTTACCTGCCTAGTAAACTATCAGTCCAGTGAGTCAGTGGGTTCCACCAAAAACATCTTACTGCCTGCAAAGCTGTATCTATGCACAGGTTCAGGAAAGCAGTGTGGTAACTTTTAATTTGTGAACTTTTCTGGTCACGACTAATAGAATCTGCATTGCCATTTGGAGTAACAAGAAAACTCGGCAATAAACCCTAAATACCTTCTCCTTGTTGTCTTAATCTCTCACCCCCAAAGATGAGAGACTCAGCTTCCCAGAAGGATTTAACACTTCCTTCACACCGATTTCACCCCTATGATTTCACTTAATAAGTCTCCTGGCCACAAATATGTTCTCAGTACAAGTTCTCCTGTGTTAGCCAGTGTCACTCTACAGCCATGCATAGGTACTCCTACCACAAGCATGAGTCCAGCGCATAGCTAGCTGTAGACTCTTTATGATGAGATTACACAGTAAATTGAGGTCATACCTGCTATAGTAGTTAGCAGGATAGTTTGAGACAACACAGGTATAAATAAATAAAAAAAGAATTAAAAAAACCTAATATTTTTCCTGGAATTTTATAGATCAGAGTCAAACATTTGATGCTTTCAGCAAAAACATTCATTATGGCTATATTTACAAGGGTATTGCTTGGCTTTGAAATCTGTAGAGCCAGCAGCCACCTTCCAAAATTGCTCAAATCTGATTTCCAGCAGTTGTGCTGTCACCACTGTGGCCACGTGAAGGTATCCTTCTTGTTTATGGGCTTGCTATTGTGCACAGGCTGTTTGATACCGTTGCCAGGCTATGTGTATTAGATGTTCCATTTGTGCAGCTACTCCTTGCACTTTTCTTCCTACATTACTATGTTTTGTCATCTTTTTATGCACGTCTATTGCTCAAGACCTTGCTATGGCATATACTGTCCACCAATACCTTTGTACACTGGCTGATTGCTTGGACCATGATGATTGGTCACTTTTCTGTTACTAGGAACATCCACCCATCTTTCAATCATCTCTTATAAGTGGAGAAGCCCAGAATTTTGATAGTTACACATAGGTTTCTGTGCTCATATTGCCTGCAATCGTATTTTTCTCTCTTCTTTTTAGAAGTAGAAGGAACATTCCCTGCTACCACATCACTGTTAATTGAGTTTTTGCTTCCTTTTTTCTCTTTCTGCCTTTCATTTTCTTCTTTTCTATTCTATACTGCCCAACTTTACCATTTTGGCTTTAATAGGAGACAAATCATTTCTCATTCTTTCCCCAAGACTTTTAAATCCTTTTATCTGGTTGGGCTGTGGCCATAAACATTCTTGTTTTTTCAGGTTACAGATCCTAAAGCTGTTGATGAGGAACCACTGAAGGGAGTCCTACCATCCCAGACTGTGAAAATCAAGCCTGAAGACAAATGGTACCTGAAAGCACAGCATCTCAAGGTTCTGTTTTGTTGTAACATGATAATATACACATAGAAGCATTGAAGTTTGAATACTTAATCTGTAATCTCGTTAAATTCAAAGTATCAATTATTGACAATAAATCCTTAGGTATATATCAGTAGGCAATCACCAAAATCTAATGTATATGCTGCTTTATATATTGAATTATTTAAAGTCAAAATAGAGCTCAAATTCCAAGAAAATTCCAAGAGCTCAAAGAATCTTACCTGTTTACAACATTATTTAGTTGATAATAATATAGACACACAAACTGGTACCTGTCTGTGTCTAATGGTTCATGAGGATTCTGAGCTAGAACTCAACTACTGCTGCATTAATTGTCCCCTAAAATCCTCATGACCATAAAAGAGTTATCATAAACCAGAAAATGTTATCTGTAGGCAAAGTTGCACTGACCTCCTCTGTAGGCATAGATCTATAGACGTGCTTTATGCTTTCAAACCAATGCAGTGGAGTAGTTTTTGGAGCAATAGAAGAGACCAGGTTATCATCACTGATGAAAAACCAAGAACTCAGAACCAGAACTTCAAGCCAACTGGGGTTATTATTGGAAAACCTAGTTACTGTCTTTGTATTACAAGTGTTTGAAGTAAATCAGGCCAAGTGCTTAAATTCCCCTAAGACTGCAAGCTGCAATTCTATAAAGAACAAACATGACTTTATGCTGCTGTCCACTGTGAGAGATGTGCTTTATATGTGGTATTTGAGAATGAGGAGGGTATTTTACAGGGCTGCTCATTCTGTTTAAATGAGAAAACATTGGCCTGGTCCCAGTTTGGCAGCAGTTGATGCTTTTGACTAGGGGCACAATATGCCAGAACATTAATCGATACAGCAGAGGTCGAGCTAACAAATCATCATCCTGGCACCAGGAGTCAGGATTCCCCAGTGCTTTTTTTGGCTTTCACCAAAACATTGTGGTCTGTATGTGGATTTAATACTACCATTAAGTAGTTACTCTGAGTGCATATGCTATGTAGTGATTGCAAGCGTTGCTAACAAAAGAACCCTAGAGAGAGACAGGAAGATGAAATGGAGGATTTTAGCGCTGACAAAGATTAAATGGACTCAGAATGGATTTGTATATTCCCTAGAAGGAAAGCCATGTCTTTCCTCAAAATGAGCAACACCTGATGCTGTAATTGGAACATGACAAATCTTAAACTGCAGGTTTAGAGCATGTCAGTTTAGCTCTAAACAGTAGTCCTGGTGTATTTAAATTCTCATGTTGTTTCCTATCATTTGGCTAATGTTTTCCAGGGTACAGCGCAGGGAGGAGGCTTTGGTTTAGAAATGAAATCATTTCAATCACTGATATCAGTCTGTTTAAAATAAGAATGTTGTCTTGAATGGAAATCATAGAACATGATATAATCTAGTGAAAACAGCATGCAGTCAGTTAATTTGATGAGGTTTAAGATACAGCTACATGAAAGGTATTGTGACTGGCAAATTTACCAGTAAGCTTGTATATTGTTGATCTTAATGAACGTATAAAATCGCAACCAGTGAAAATCACCCCCTTCTGATAACTTGTTTTAGATTCACCCACTTAAGTCCTGCCAGAGAAATAACGTAAAATCCAACCAGAGACTCAAAGGGAGAGCTATCCCAAGGAATGACAGCCAGCAACAGCCAGGAAGACCAGCAGAACTGAGGCCTTGGCACCACCAAATACCAGGATCTCAGATTTCTCCCACACAGGCAGTAGAGCAAGACGACGGCAGCACACTGCAGGAGTGTCTGTATCCAAGTCCTTCTGTTGGCCCTGACACTAATACAGCAGTAAATTCAGATACTTGCTTAAACAGTTTCCCACTTTCAAGACATCTTGTCAATCAGGATTTTACCACCTGTACCTATCCTTTCCCTCCGAAATCACACACATTCAACCCAGCAGAGGTTATATCTCCAGCCTATACCAGCAAGGAGAACTGGAAATATCAGCATAATTGTCCAAATGGATTTCCACGAGGCCAGCAACACCTACAAAACCATGCCACTGTGAAGCTGCTTGCAAGAGATAACAGTACCAATGGTCAAGCACATCCAAACCAGAGGAATATTTCATCTACTTTTAATGCCAATTTTCAAGAATTGGTGAAGGATCAAGAGTCGCTTCAGGATTGCAAAAGACACATTTGTGTGGATAAAAGGTATCAGAACTGTTATCAGTAGTTTAGGGCAAGGATGTAAGTGTTGAAACAGTATTATCATAACACTATGATGTCCAGAAAAACTAGAAATGGGCAAATAAATGTTTTAAAGGCCAAAGTGTAAAATCGTGTGCCACCCACACAAGGGAAGAACTTCTTCCTAATGTCTAATTTAAATCTCCCTTATGTCAGTTTAAAGCCATTGCCCCTCGTCCTATCCCTACATGCACTTGTCAAAAGATGTTTTGTCATCCCATTAGGCACTGTCAGTCGTTATGGAATACCCATCTTTTCACCATCATGTTCCCAGAATACAAGGATCATCCCATGTACAGATTGCTTGTTGAGCTACCTGCTATATAAGATAAAGGTCCTTATTCATCCCCTTCTTTATTTTTTAGGCTGCCTCAATCTTCTATTCACAGTTCAGCAGCAGCCCCTTGTACAACCTCCCAGTTCGCACCAACGATGGAGCAATATCACCAAGATACTCATTTGACAGAAGCCCACTTAGCTGACAGGCACTTCTTCAGCCTACTTCCACCCATAAACCCACAGGCAGAAAGTGTTTCAGAGATAGATCCACAGAGTGTTAAAGGAAATCAAGTGAAAAAACCCCAGAGCAACTCAGAAGAATCTCTCATGCAGATGGAAAAGCAAAACCAACCTAAAGTCAGCAAGAAGGTAAGCAAATAGGTGTGGATTGGATGGCTTTACATTTCTATTTCCCCTCTGATTCATTTTTGTCCTTAATAATCCAAAAACCTTAAAAAGGAATGGGGACTAAGAAATATTTCATGTTACAGAAAGCACACTGACAAACACTGACTTGCCCAGAGCATTAAAACCCAAGGAACAAAGGTAGAAACAGACACTACAATCATTTTAGTCTAAAGAGTGAAGCAGTTTACCACCACCTCTCCCTGTGTCACTTTCAGTCTTGATTAGCTCTAAGAACACACAGAGCAGTGTTTGTCCTTTAAGTTATCCAGTGATAAAATGATTTAGAACAAAGCTATTTATATAAAGCAGCAGGTAGCCAGGCCTCAGATCTGAGCGAACCATTATCCTGGTCACGCTCATTTGCTATCCAACTCAAATCTCCTGGTTTCCAAGGGAATCAAAGTGAACAACAACAAACTTAGAGGATTTGTGAAGCTAACGGCATAAACATTATTACAAGTCTCCTGATGATCCCATTTTGGTCCTTATTAAAACTTGGTTCTTTTTGTCTTTTCTGTGTGTCCGGTTTCATTCAGCAACCAGTTAACACAGACACAGTGGAACAGCATAAAGATATCCCTGTGTCCATGGCAAATTAAATGTTTAAGAAGTTAGCCCCAAGTCTCAGGGCAGACAAACTAAGCTGGAATAATTACTCATGTGTTTCATCTAGGAGGCAGTTTGTGTATTGCTGCTTGAATGCTTTTGAGAAGAATTAGCTGGATTATGATAGTAACTGAAGGGCCGATTGCCTTCCCTTTCTGTTCCCCCGAGTTCAAACCATTGTTTCTGTCCTGTATTTTCAGTAGCTTTCTCACGCTTTGTATGTGGGGAACGTTACAAGAGTAAGACTGTTTCTGCTCACAGAAATATCCAGCTTTTCCTAATGAACAAATGGATTCATGCTCATTGCATGAAGTGAGAAAACCCTGATTTTTTTGTAGACAGCTAAATCATCAACACTTCCCACAACCTTAAAAGTTATGTGTAAATGCATCACAAAAGAATAGGGGTAATAGACACAAAAACCAACATCAGATACTGCACCTCTGCAGCTGAGTTAAACTTGAACATGCCCTTCGAAGAAATGCACGTTTTATTTGCGTACAGATTTCTTGCTGTTTCTGCATTAGTTGGGCATTGAAGTTACTACAGAGCTGGTCACAATGAGTTTCCACTGACAAGTTTTCAGTCCACTTCTAAAAGTTAATCTAGTGTATTTGAAAGAGGTTAAAAAGGTTCTAGAAGTATTGGGGGTCTTACAGTAATGTCCTGACCTACCGAAATGGCATCACCCATCACTCACCTTCAGTCTTCCCTATGCACTTGTAAAGCTTTTGCTGTGGTGCAAGGCATGTATTTTTCAACTCCCAGTGAAGAATTTCCCATTGCAGTCTTGAGAACAAAGAAAGATTGCTATCATTAATAACAATTGCCTAATAATTATTACCCAAATTGGGTACTTTCATCTGCTTTCCTTTGTAACAGTTTCTTTGCAGTTTCATTCCAATAACAGTTGAATGAGTCACTTCAAGCTGTTTAAAAATAAAGCTCATAAAAGATCATCTTTTTGACTGAGAAAGTATTGCTTTTTGATTTGGATAATTGGCAATTTCCCACCTAGATTCAAAGGAAATACAGTGTAATTTGACTTGTGCAATTAACTCAATCATTTTGGTCATTTACAATCCTTAAAATGAGACACGCCAGAGGTAAGACTGAGACTACAAGTTGCATCCTGATCTTACCTTGGATGTCCACTACAAGCCTTGTTTTAATTATGCTCCCTGTGAAACCATATAATGGAAAACCTACCACTGCTCTTTGTTTTTTAGCCATGTACCTCAAAAGCCTACATAAATCTGAATGTGAAGCTTGGAGGCCTTGGACCTGACTATGAGGCAATCAAAGAGAAAGTAAGCAGTCCCTATTGTATGATCTGCTTTTCAGTTGTGCAAAGAGAGGAGAATGGCAAAGAAATCTCTGTTGAGAAGCAACTTATGTCCTGGACTGTAGGTCTAGCTTGAGATCCTAAAGGGAGATTCGGATAGGAGGAAAGACAACTGTATTGTGGATCATTTTAACCCTTTAATTTTGTAGTTCCACAAACAGCGAGTAGTTGACAAGATTCACCAGGGCTAATTGCACGAGTAAGTTATACACTCATGTGGCTTAATTGCAGTCTCATTCCCAATGTAGAAGGTTTGCCTAACCTTCAAAGTGGAAGTAAAAGAAGTTATGTAAAGACAAGAATGAAGTAGCTGGATGTGCATTACCCTGTTGAAATGGAAACAGATTGTGCAGAAGAAGTACCCAAGCAATTGCTGTCTCTGCTGGTAATGAGCATCTGGTAGCAGCTGTACATCTGAGGTGCTGCAAACTCCATCCTGCATGCCTTGAGATGATATTAATGTAACAAGAGGTGCTTTATATGGCATTCGTTATAGAGACATTGTAAGACAGTAGGAAGGAACAATGGTAAAATGATCATCCCTTTGGAGTAATTGCCCCTGTATTTTCTTCTTCCTTGCAAAAGTCATTGCAAAAGCTGACAGAAATTAGCACAGCCATTTTAAAACTGATCAGATAGATTTAAACACACAGAATAAAGAATGTTTAAACCTGTCACAATTCTCTTGAGCTCTATCCTCAATATGGTCCAAGAAAAAGCTCTTAAAAACAAAGAGTGACTAAGAAAGCTGTGCCATTTATCAGGGCTTCCTGTTGTGTTCTGCTGAGAAATGATCAATAGCATAGCCAGGTTAAACAGCAACAGAGGTGTAAATGGAAGATTCCAGTGCGAAAGCGTCTCATTGATGGATCCAGGGAGATATTTCTTTAACCATGCATTTTTTGCCTTTGTCAGAAAGAGAAGTTGAAGCAACAAAAAGAATATGCAAAGCAGATTAAGGAACGCAACATGAGAAGCATTGCTTCAGCTCAGAGGTTACCTACAAAACCCGAGGTTGTAACTTCAGTGTCAAGACAGAAGGTAAGAACAGAGGAGGGAGAGTTTCTGGCCTTTGCATAAAGAAAAAGCGTAACTTTAACTCACTGTAGGCTAACATGGTTTCTCCATTTTCACCTTCCTTTTAATAACTCTAAGGACTTATGGGACCCTGGCAAGTGCTCATCTATTCTGTTATGGCTGTAGATGTAGTTGCTGATTTCTTTGGCAACAGCAAGCCTTCAGTCCATGCATCTCCCTTGCTCTTCATGAGGGTGTACCAAATGGAAAAAGAGCAGTACTCCATCCAGCTACCAGCACTCAATGTGGCTTAAACAGCTAGTGATGGTTTCCTGGGGAAAGGGTGGGAACAAAGGCGAGCGGGACCCTCCCAGGAGCATTACCCAGTGCAGCACATGCTCTGCTTCACATCAACAGCAGAGGCCTCACTACTGCAGAGTGCACTCTTCTAATGGACCACAGATATCCTCTTGTTAGTCTATTATCCACCTGCCTGTCAGTCTCACTCGCAAACTCTTTTCACTTCAGTTGCATAGCTACAGTAATTGGTCTTATTTTTCAAGCCCATACAACACCACTTTAGCCTTCACCTGCCTTCAAAAATAGCCCAAATGAGCAACGACTGACTACATGACAGTGGCACACGTAAACAAGCAAAGGCAGCACCTTTTCTATATTGCAGGAAATAATGAAGCTCTGGAAGTAGTATATATCCATCAGTTCTGCAGGAGCTCACCTGCATGCTAACAGCTATTCCTCCACAGTGATGAATGAGAACTGCAGGCTCCAGGAAACAAGTTTTGGCATTTAATATCAGTTTAATCACTAAGTTACTTGCATTTATTTCCAAGCCTCACGTAAACCACTTATGTGGTTTTTGGACGCCCCAGGTTAAACCAGGGTGCTCCCAGTTTCAGGATTTCTGCAGTACTGTTCCCATTCCCTCTGCCTTCTGGTTCCATGCATCATTCTGTGCTATTTGACCCTCTTACAGGTATCTGTTTTGAAGAAAAAACACTGCTTCAGTATTTAAGGTTTTCTCCAGTGGTGTCAGAAAGCAAATCACCCTGGGGTGGTGATTTGCCCGCTCCAGAGGTTTCTTGCACTGAAACATCTAGTATTGAACACTGTCAGAAACAAGACTGGGAAATAGGAGAACTAATAATTTAACTCAATACAGAAATATCTACCTTTTCTTGGCAGTATTGGTCAGGTTTTTCTCTTGATTAATTATCCCAATTTTCCTGGTTTTAGGCACTGGAATATGCTAAGAAGATTCCTAGACCAAAGACTTTCACAACAAAACAATCAGCTGAAAAGGTGAAGGAAAAAACAGTTCTGCCACAGACTTTAAATGAAGACACTCTGCCTCAAATTGCATTCTTGCAAACTTTGAATGACAGACACCAGAAGGAGAAGCAAGTTGTAGCTGCTTTCAAAAACCTTCATATCTTACAAGTGTTTTGAAATTACTTGGGGTATCTTCAAGGCTAAGATGCCTTAACCATTTAGTTATGAGCTATGAGCATCACGTATGATTTCCCGTCCCATTCTTTTAGACTAATCACCTGTTGGCTTGTCACAGCCGGAGCATTTTTAGGCATTTCAAACATATAGGTGTATTTACAAATCTTTACCAATAAATATCAGTTTCACTTGATGATTTTACTAGCAGCAACATTTCTGTTCTTGAAGTGCACCAAACATAGCAGTGGGTAATGGCACAATACTCATTACTCAACTGTTACTCTGTTATCTGTTAGTGAATAGTTGTCACATCAAGACCCAGATTTTGAAGCTTCATCTGGGGCAAGAGAATTCAAAACAAGCCCTGGCTGATGATGCAGACAATCTGTTATTAGCCAGAAGCAGTTGGAAAATACATTGAGTAACTAAGGATAATTGAGAGCTGCATGTTTGAGAGGAAACAGCTTTTAACAGATTAAATCTATCAAAATAACAACAAACAGATGGGTTTCTTACGATGCTTCCATTTCTTTAACTTAGCAAATGATGAATTAAGTCAACATGTGAAATGTGATTTAAACACACAGCAAGGGAATTTTGAAGAAAACACACTAAAATCTTAGCAAATAGGCTAGTTAAAAGGGAAAGAAAAAGAACAAACACACACACAAAAAACCCCAACAACCTCATGATTATATGTAATTGCTTTATCCAATTTATTAGGTCCCCTTTTGAATGGGAGGAGAGAGAATTAGTCTTCGGGGGGAAAAAAGGGTTTGGGTCTCCCTGAAGGAGGCACACAATGGAAAGGGAAGGTGGGGAATAAAAGAGTGAGTATCTATGAAATGGCTTTCTCTCTTTCTAGATGTACCTTTAACTAAAGGTAAAAGCTAGAAACGCGTTAAGACTTAGCACATTGCTGGGTTAACATGGGCTGGATGTCTCACTAGAAAGATGATTTTACAGCAGTTGTACAGTAAAGTCAAAGCATTGGAGGTATGGAATACATTGCTGGAAAAGTCTTATATATACCTTTCATTTTAGAAAGTCCTGGGGGGAATTCATCTAGATCCTATAGTCCTCAGGATGCCTCAGCCCTCCTGAAAGTGTGTTAGCATCTCCAGTCAAAGTGATCAATATACTGCATCTCTCCATGATGGGAAAAGGACACATACCTTTCCTTAAAGCCCTTCTGACCCACCCCAGAGACCATTAGACTTTGCAGGCACAAGTTTGGCGCATACATAAGCTTTGGGGAGAAATCTGGGGGAAGAAGCATATGGAAGCATAGCAATGGATATCTTCAAATGGCCACTGCAACTTCTGGAACAGAACTGTCCTCTGCCTCAGCCTGCTTTCTGCTCGCCTTTGGGAAACAGCATTTGCCACCTTGCTGTAGAACGTGCATGCCTGTGGTAGGATCCATCAAGCAAGGCTGGGTAAATGGTACCATGCTCTGCCAGTTGCTGCTTTTCTACTTTTATGTTTTAAACCAAATGGTTACAGTTTGAAGCATTTCTTATTAGGGAACCTCAACTTGTTGGTTCTGCTTAAAAGTGATAATCCCCCCTTAATACAAACCTCAAGTACCTATTTTAATGAAACCTTCAGATGAATATCAAAGAGCTATTTACTCGTATCTAATATTTTAATTAGATTATATTCTCAATTTAACCCATTAAACCCCCTTTGATGATCTCCATGTTTAGTGTTTAGCCCCAGATGCTGGAGGTAATGAATATTGGACCTTTGATTTAATGAGAACTTCTGCCTTTCCAGCCTGACTCCCTTTGTATCCCCCTTTTTTTATATTCTGAGCTATAGAATTCAGTTAATTGAAGAAGTCTCTTATCACCACACATTAAGGAACCTAAATTAGCATCCCTTTTCTGATTAGAAAATGCAAGCAGACATTTTCTCTTTGATCTGAGGATTGAGTTGAAGTAGGCAACAGCCCCCTGAAAATGAGCTGATGGCCTTATTATTTGGCTGACATGCAGATGCGTCCATGTGGTGCAAAATGCTTAATGTCTTAATTGATCACCTTCCTCCCTGTCTGTCATCCCACTACCTCTTAGAGCTCCCAGAAATGAGGGTGATCTTTCTGGGTGGGTGGTGTGTTCCATTTGGGGGGTTTTAATAGACAATGAACTTGTAGGATACATTCAAATACTAAACCCACGCTAACTAGAAGCCATGTATATGACGCTGCATCTGGGGGGGGTTTATAGGTTTTTTCTACGATCACAGATTGTGATCATGTCACAAACCATTTGGAAAGGACTGGTTTGGTTTGGAGTTTCTTTTTTCCTCCCAGAAAAAAAAAAAAAAAAAAAAAAAAAGAAGGACATTATTTGCAGCATATGTGGAATGAAAATCTTTTGATCTGCCTCAATACTAATGCAAATTTTCCCGGCACCTAACAGATAAGGTGGCACAAAAAGGGACCATACAAGTAAATGATGAGCATCCATCTGCTTAAAAGCAAAGGCCAAAACTTAATGTCTTTCAAATTAGGAAGGCAAGGAATTTAAATAAGAAATAGGCCTTGAATTTTGCATTAAGTATTCAGGGAGAGATTGAGCTGAGGTAGAACCTGCCTGATGTAATCCCAGGGCTCCAGCTATCACAGTGTTACCGTGAGCACAGGCTGCCTTCACAGGGGCAGGAATTGTGTACACCACCCAATAGAACTCAATATTTACTTGCCAGGCTCTTTCTACTGACACCTCTTGATATTTTAGGTTCAGGAAGGTTAGAAGCTGAAACCACCTTCATTTCTACTTAGGAGCAATGCTGCTGCAATGAAATCACCATCACATTTCTTTCGAAGGTAACTGACATTGGTTTCCCACCATCATCTCACAAAAGGTATGAACATCTGGCTTATAGGCTGCTGACTGACAGAAACATATTGGTTTAACAGTTAAAAACATTCAATCACATGTTCCGTCATTACATCTCTAAAAACAAACTGGCAAAGATGAGGACTGTAAACTAGACGAAATGATGTCTAACTCCTGCAGTCATTGAATCCTTCAAATAGGCATGAACAAGCTGGAATGTCCAAACAGCCAATGAGCCAAGCATTGGATCATTAACATCAGGAACCACTTCTACATTAAATTACAATAGCAGAAAGAAGATGACTTTTTAAGTTATCGTTATTTTGCATGTTGTCCAAAACTAAGTGCCCTTTGCATGAGAATAAGCAGGCATGTGAAGGACCAACTCTGGTGACTGCCTGTGTGGTGTGAGAAAGAGTTCTAGATGGACAAAACCATAGTGATGAAGAAAGGCAGTGAACCTACACTGGTGACAGCTGGTGAGGGTGACATAGAGCAATCTGCCTTACAGAAGAGCCTGCTCTGAACAGAAGTGATGCTGAGCCCAAAACCTGGATAGAGCAGATGCTAAAGAAGCACCCAGCAGCTCAGCAAGAGCTTTGCATAATCAGGAGTGCAGAGTGGGCAGCTGCAGGTAGCACCATGGGGTTAGTTTAATGTGTGTCATAGGAGCACTGAAGGGTTTGTTCCAGCAGTCAAGGCAGATCCAACAAGATACACCACACCAGAGAATAGTGAGTCTTTTTAGGAAAGCAATTGAGTGGTCAGCACTGCTTTCCAGTCCCATGAAAGTCAGTGATGTTAAGGGCAGCAGACAGGAAAACGCTCACAATCAAAACAGAGAGCAAAGGTTCATAGAATTATTTTGGTGAACCGTTTTGTGATTTTCTTTAATGAAACCAACAGCAAACATTAACCACTCGGGTGTTCAAATTAATTAACAGGAAAAACTTTCATTTGGAAAAAGAAAACTTGAGGATTTTGATGAAAATCAATACTTTGGTGGATTTCTTGAAAAATAGGAAATCCACCAAGATTTCCTATTTCCAGTAACTGTTTCCTGCAAGCTACTTCTACTCAGCATTTCCCACACACACATAAATATAAAAGAGCTCTAAACAATCTCCTCTACTCCTTAAGCTTCTTGGGGAAAGCAGGAGAAAATCAGCACTCATCACTGAATGAGTCGGGACTCGAGAATAAAACCACATTTCACTTGTTCTAAAGGAAGGAGATGTCTCAGGTAGGGGCTGTTTCCCTCCCTATCTCATTTGCCCTTGTTTGCATCAAACTTTATGGGATAAGCAGCCTGTTCCCAAAGCCTTCTCCCATTAACTGCAAGGCTCGGTGCATACCACCACAGTATCCTTCCCTCGGGTTGCATGGTTCACATTCTGTGTGCCTTTGTCGCTGAGGTTGCTAGCCATCAGTGGCTTTCACTTCAAACATAATTGGAATCTTAAATGTTAGCCAAGGTACCTGGACATACAGAGAGGGGAAGAGAGGGTGGATTTGATTGGATTTCGTTGACCAGCATAAATACTTTGTGAAGGAGAAAGTTCCTGTAGCAGCAGGGGAGAGACAGCAGACTTAAGTGTTACCTGAGTCATATTCTGACCCTTCTTCATAGTTCTGGCACATCCTGAGTGTGATAGTGCTGGTGGCAGAAAGGGGAATGGGATCTTTGTCACTCCTCTGCACCTCAGAGAAACCTCACTGATAAAGGGGTCCCATGAACCAGCCCTGCCCAGGGGACTGAGGTGAGGATACCTCATTCACTATCATCTGCAGCACTGCCTGCATTGGGGCACTCTGTGCTGCAAACCTTGTTCCTGGACATGCCTACACCTAAATCCCAGGACCCTTCCCTCCTTGGGAACCACCATCAGATTGCAAACATCATCAATGTGCAGATGTCCCAAGCCCTGCTGCTGCAGAGGAAAGGAGCACTGACTTTTGGGGTGTTGGGTGAGGTGGGACCTGCCTGGTTACACAGCATTTGATCACACTCCTCAATCAGTGTTGGGAGGGCAGAGCCTGGCAGTGCCCACAGGCTGACACCACTACTTTCTTTATATCCACTAGGTGCCTTGCCAAAGAGCAGCGTAAATGCACAGAGGAGGGAAAAGCTGCTTTTGCACATCTCTGCCCAAAAATTCCTCTCACTTCATCTTCTGCTTTTTACTTTCTCCTGCTTTTTTTCCAGCACAGAGCATTTTTACACACCTTTGCCTTTAGTAATAGAGAGAACAAGCAATTCTTTACACAAGAAATCACACATACCAATGTAATGAAACAGGATTTTTAATTTCCCTTTTCATTCAGGTGCAATTGTTTTAGATTATTACATCTTTATACTTGCTCCTAATGTTCCCTTTCATTAAAATAAAGGGATTTCTCTAAACACCTTGCTGCCCAACCCTATTACCAAAGGACCCCAGCAGCAGAGCATTATCGGCCCTGAGATGGGTATCGATACCACGCCATGAACAGAAGCTTTAGACATGGTCAGAAAGAAAACATTACTAAAGATCATGTTAGAGCTTCTCTTTTATATCACTTTTAATAGTTCGTGATGAAACGTGAGATCAGGGGGAGGCTGACAGAGCAAAAGGAACCAAATACCTGTTGGGTAACTGAGTACGGATGCAGGTGAAGGATGGCACCGAATTGAAAGGGTTTCCAAACAGTTTCCATCACCTCCCGACTAGGTGATGAGAGAAGGGGAGAGAGGAGAAGCATTTCCAGACAGCAATGTGAAATGTCCTGCTGCACCCTGCGCTTAGCTCTCTACCATGCTCCGAACCACACCAAGGTTTTAGGGGGAAATTGGTGGCTTTGCCTTCTGAATTATCATTTCTAGCGAGATGGGTGGCGTTTTACAAAGTTTTATGATTAAAACGCTTGTTCTGGAAGTAATTATAAAGACCATGTGAAAGATAACCAGCCATTTGATGCACAGACAGTTGGGTATTTGGTATTTTTCCCTCCCTAAGGTGTGATGTTTATTATTTCACGGGTAAAAAGCATAAAGGGAAACCCACGAAAAGGAAACAAACTTACACAGGACAATAATCTGTATTTTATATATTAAGCAGATTTCTTTCCTCGCAAAACCGCATATCCCATAATACAAAAAAAAAGCACCGAAAGTGCCCTTGACACCAAATTAAAAACAAAAGCAGGAAAACAGGATTAAATAACCTAAGGAGACACCGACACGGCACCCGGTTGCTGGTGCAGCAGAAGCTGCGCAGCCAACGTCTGAGCAAGCACAGCCTCTCCTCCAGGATTTTCCCGAGGAAAACCCCAGTTTTCCCGTTGGAAACGAGGAGCCTCCGCCTCGCTCCCAAACCAGCAGCTCGCCAAAAGGGGGGGTGAGGGGGTGGTAAATAGCATTTAGGGTATCTTAATTTACCTGGAAATTAAAAGCATTTCCCTGGCAGGAAGATAAAGCGGCGGCTGCAAGACGGAGCTCAGGGAGGCGTTGGGGCAAACGCAGGCAAGAGGAAAACAGGAGCCAAACACAGCTCTAGGGCATCTTTGGGAGGAAAAGAGTAGTATCCGGACGGTGATTCGCACCTGAAAGCCGGGAAGGAATCAGGCTGGAAGCACCGGTGCAGGTGGTTCTCCAAGCGGTTCTCTTTTGCTCGCTGGGATTGCTTCTGCTCCGAGCAATGATCGAGTTATTCGTGGTGCTCCCCCTTTCCCCTCTCTATATCGGATTAAACAAACGGTAGTTTTTGTCTTACCTGTTTCTTTGGAAGGCGTTTCTATAATTGTTTTCCTTTGGGTTTTTTGGAGGATGCGCGTGTCCTGGAAGCTCTGCCCGGGATAAATCCGGGATAAACCCGACCTGCCCGCCGCTCCCAGTAACCACAACACGCTGCCACGGGTGCACATTTATTTCAAAACCGAGGAAAGTTGGGGGAACGGAGAGAAGTCCCATATTTCGTTGGGAAAAGGGAAAACTTAAAAGGGAACTCGCCTTATTCCGCTCTCCCTCACTAGACTTCTAGGGCTGGTGCCGAGGGGCAGCCGACGGTACCGCGGAGCACCACTGCCTCCTCCCGCATCACCACCTCCTCCCCAAAACGTGATCCCCTCCCCTCTGGCACTGCTCAGGGCTGGGAGATAGGGGCAGTTTGCTGGGCCGGGGCAAAGCCGCCCCGGGCCCCTGCGCAACTAGAGGCGATGGGGACCGGCGCAGAGGTCCCCCTCCTCCAGGATGTCCACCTCGTCCTCGGGGTCCTGGAGCAGGAATGGGCCTGGATGGCCCTTGCGAGGCTCGGTGCCGGCCGCCTCGGGCAGCTCGGGCTCGGGGGAGCTCTGCTCCCGGTTCTCCTCGCTTCCCGTGTGCTTGGGATCCTCCTGGGTTTTCCGCAGCTGCTTTTTGTGCTTCATCCGCCGGTTCTGGAACCACGTTTTCACCTGGGGAGAGCATCAGGAGGGGGGAAATAATAACGGTAAATAGAAACGAGAAGGAAAAGGTAAGGATGCTACATGGGATACAGGAAAGGGGCAGACGCCGGTCCCTCCGCCCGGTACCTGAGTCTCGGAGAGGCTGAGAGCCGTGGCCAGCTCCACACGCTCGGGGGTGGAGAGGTACCGCTGGATCTCAAACCTCTTCTCCAAGCCGGAGAGCTGCGAGTCGGAGAAAACGGTGCGGGCTTTGCGGCGGCGGCAATGCTTCCCGGGCAGCTCGGCGTGAGCGTGGGGCTGGAAGAGGGCTGGCACCGGCATTCCTGGAGGGATACACGGCCGAGACCCGGGTAGGCTGCAGCTCCCGGAGCTGGGCTCTCCCCCTGCCTCCCTTAGCTTTCAATGATTATTTCGTTTATATCGTTTTTAAGGTCGTTTTATTGATTTAGGGGGTTTTCTTGCTCTAAAAACAAAGCTTTTCGCCCCTGCTGAACCCTTCCCAAGCAAAGCAAAGGCAGCGTGAGCAGTGCTGCCTTAAGCAGAGCCGGAGCGTGCAGCAAGGACAGGGGAACCATCACTCTCTTGACAATTAAACCACAACGAAAAGAAAGTAGGAAAACCGAGGGCAGCGCTGGAAAAGGCTGGGAGGGGAACGACCCTCCCGGCTCCACCGCTGCGCAACTTCCCATCTCACTTGGGATGTCCAGTGAGAGACTTTGGAGGAGGGTTTCCTTCCCTCCTTCCCTTCAGAGCCCGGGGAAGGGTGGCAAAGCCCCCCGTTCCGGCCGGGCAGGAGGAGCCTCTCTCCCGGCCCCGGGATGCGAAGCCAGAGCAGCCCTAGCGGTGCTGCTGGAGGTGGAAATATCAAAGCTCGGGCACTGTCTGGAGGGATAACGCAAGGAAAAAGAGATGCTATCGGTCCGAAAATAAAAGTAATTAAAAGTAATAAATAGAATATAAAGGGAAAGAGAAGGAGACCCTCGAGATATCGGGCAATTGGATGGATGGCAACCTGCAGCTCGGTGTGCTCCTTTCCCTGATAACGAAGCGGGGAACCGCAGCCCGGATCCAGGTGAAGGATGCAGAAAGATGCCCCGAAGGGCTTGTCCCGTCCTGGGCTGCGGCCTCTTTTCCCCACCCGGGTCTGCCTGGACTCAAACTCGGCAGGTTCCTTCCCGTGAAGGGCTGCACTTACCCGAGGTGGTGAGGAAATAGGGGTGATGGTGATGCTCCGGCTTGTGCAGGGCAGGGTGCGGGTGAGGCGCCAGGAGGGTCGGGGTTGGCATCAGGGGGTACCCATAGTCCAAGAGGGGGACGCGAGAGGCCAAGGAGCCGGGGAAGTGCTCGGGGGGCACCTCCCGCAAGGGCTTAGGCTTGTGAAGCAGGATGTCCTCGATGAAGAAGGATGTGGGCCTGGGCGCGGAGACGGGGTGCACTGGCGAGGTGAAGTTGAGGTTCATTTCGGTTGTGGTCCCCTTGGGCAGCAGGGAAGGGAGCGAGGCGGGCTGAGAAAGAGGGATGCAGGGGGCGAGGGAGCCGCGGGGCCGGGGGTGATAAATAGAAATAATTATAATAATGAATAAATTACTTTTTTTTTAAAAAAGGGAGAAAAAATAAACAGCAATAATAACAATAATTAAAAATAAATATCCCCCCCAGGCAGAAATGAAGGGAAGAGCCGGGGGATGCGATGCGGGCGGGCTCGGGCTGTGCGGGGAGATGCGCGCCTTTGAGGCGCAGGAGAAAGGGGGGTCTCCGGCGAACCAATCGCCATCGGCCGGGCGGGGGGAACGGGTCCTCCGGGCCACCCAAACCGCGCAGGGGGTGCGCAGCCTGCCCCCTGCGCACCGCACCTCAGCCCCGCAGCGCAGCGCAACGCAACGCAACCCACTCTCAGCCCCGGTGCGAGCGGTGGAGTCGGAGCTTTTTCCCAAAGACAAGGGTTTTATCCTCTTGCTTTTGTAAAGGCAAAAACTTGGGGGGGGGGGGGAATAAATCACTGCGCTTTGCTGAGCTGCCCCACGCTCCGCTCCTAACTTGTCCCTTGCAGTTTGTCCCTTCCGCTCAAGTTATTACCCCGCTGGGGTTTTGTTCCCGTCCATTCCCCACTCAGTGTTGTGCTAACTCTCCTTTTCTGTTTGTCTTCTATTTCCCCCCCCACCCCCGTAATCTGTAACATTCATTTCCCCGGAGTCAATTTGCTGAAATGAGGGTGATACACCACATCATAGCCGAGATAATTTCGGTGCGCATCGCAGAAAATTGCTCTAATTATTGATGTTAAACTCGGGGAAATTAAAAGAAGGCGCTTCTCCTTCATCTCCCGATTTTAAGCTCTAATTTGTTGAAATCGAGTTGCCATCACAATTCCAATCACTACCGTTAATAGTAAAAGTGTTCTAATAGAGGCAGAATTCGCGCAACCCATGCTATTAGATAATTAAGAAAGATGTTAGAAAGGCAAGTGCTAATCCTTGGGCACATGGACAGCATTTCCATCTGATCCAGCAGGTAGAACAAATTAATTACCAGAATCAATTAGTCCTAAAAGTACAGTTCTCAGGGAAGTGTAAGCCATGTCTTCCATATGGATGAGCTGGTAAATGGCAAATAGATGGGGGGAAACCTTTAAAAGAATAGAAATGGCAATCGTCCGGCTTTAATGAAGGTGGAACTCGGCTTTTCCAGCGGTGCCCGATGCCTCACCGGGAGAAGCCACGGGAGCCTTTATATAAAGGCAGTGCGTATTACAGCCGCCTCGCTTCCACGCGTGGATATACACATATATATGTATATATACACACATCCGCGGGTGCCACAGAGGCAGGAGCACTCCAGGAGGGACGGGGCTTGCTGCATCTCCTTGTGTTGCCACAAAATCCCCTATTTTTCTCCAGGAACCCCCCCTAAAGTTAAAACCCAGTAACAAACCTGTTGCAGGATCCCCTCCCAAAACGCCCATTGCAGCATCAGCCGGGATTTTGGCCGGGGGTGGGGTTAAAAATACAACAAGCTAACAACTTTCTCTGAGGAGCAAATGAGTAAAGCAAATGAATTAACAGTGATGAAATGGGTCTAATGCCCAACTTGTTAATGGAGGGAGCGCGGCCAGGGGCATGTAAGCTGCTTGACTGGCCATTTCATCAGCTGAGATTGCTTCTCCGGGGGGGTGCTGGGGCTTTACTCATCACTGGGGTATGTGTATGTATGTATTTAAAGGAGATCTGAAAGGTTAAAGACGTATTACTTCAGCCAGATTGGGCTTTAGGATTTAGGCAAGAGTTTACCTGCCTGACAGCCACAGCCACAGGGGCTCCCACTGCAGTCTTCACACCCAGGGGCTATTTAAACTCCACATTTCACGACTTTGTGACAGCAAGTGGGTGCCGGGTGCTTCCCACCATCCACAGGCATTGTTAGCATCTTTGCCCAACAAACCTTTCACCTCTCTTTCCCCTTTTGTCCTTTTCTGCCATAAAAGCACAGTGATGGGGATCCAGCAGTATGGATCCCACCCTGAGACCCTAAAACACTCTCAACCCTCGCAGCACCCATCCCCAGGATTAGCCTTTTCTACTGGCTGGCCAAACACATGCACACATAGGTACTTCTATGTAACAATTCCATTTGCTGCCAAATACACGGGTGAGTCAGGTCTTCAAATAAAACCTTTGTAGCCTCCTTTCAATGGAGCAGGGTCCCCCTTTGAGGCAGTCCCACCGCTTTTACCCAGATTTGGCAGAAACTTCCCCAAACCTGGGTAGAAGATGAGCTAAGGGTGGGAGAACAGGATGGACTGGGCTCAGTGCAAGGCAGGGAGAAGCAGCAGGTTTGGCTGCTTTACTCACTGTGTGTTTCCCTTGCCGTGGAGGGGGCAGCAGAATTACCCATTGATGCTGCACTCTCACATCCTCCTTCAAACACATTGTGGGACTGTATGACATCTCAGCCTGGAACCCCAAACAGGGCTCCTGCAGGGGCACGTGTCTGTGAACCCAGGTAGCCACACAACAATGGAGTTAGCTTGTTGTCCCTTCAATAAAATACATTATTTCTAATGGCTGAAAGAGCTTTATACACTTCGCTGGTAGCATAACAGAGGCACACATAACCCCCCTATAGGTATAGACACACACCCCCTTTAACGATTTAATAACACACATAATACACGTGTGCTTTGCTTACATAAGCACCGGTTGTCATTACTTGCACACTTAAGATGATTTGAAGGTATCACAGGAGAATTTTGCCCAGGAAACCAGATATCTATTTGACTTAAAACCGAGGGGGTCATTTAAAAGGTTGGTGCAGCTCCGCTGATGTTAAAGGCTTTATTTCATGTGTTGCATTAAGGATAAATTTGGTGTGGTTTAAAAATACATGCACTTACCTTCGCGTGGCTCTTGAAGAGGTAAGGTAGCTTGGGAGCCCAGCCTTTTCATGCCTTTCAAGACAAATCCACTCAAAAAGGAAGGGTTAAATTAAAACCAGACAGCCTCGGTATGGTCAAAATGGGAGCCTGGCTGCAGGAAAGAGGTCTGAAGAGCTCAGTTTGAGTAGCCACACACATAACATAGAGAGAGGTCTTTTGAACACAAAGCGTGGCTTAATGGAGAGTGTTCCATGCGTGATGCTTCAGGCAAAACCACTTCCCACCCTGAAGGAACAGGGTGCCTCTTCCCAGAGATAAAAACACTCCTGTCTTTTTCCCTTCCCAACTTCCTTTGCCCACATCTCCCATTTCTCCACAGGTATCCCAGCACCGTGCAAACTCCTCATGGAAAATCATGGCTCCTAGGAGCAGGGATGCTGTGCTCATGATGACAGATTCTATACCCCCAGCTTAACTGACATAACATCAAGGCAGTGGTGGGAAGCCCCTTTGGGACTGAGGTCTGCACTAGAAGCCTTTACTGGCATTTCAGTGTTTGCAAGCATGCCTTGCCACCGGCTCAACTTCAAGGAGGGCTCAGTGGATGGGCTGCATATTACAGCACCTGGCAGGTTGTTTCAGGATGGGCTGAGAGAAGGTAGGAGGGGAGAGAAAGTGTCAAAGAGGAGTTTACCTCCTAACCAGGGTTGATGGCAGCGCCAGGAGGATCCACCCAGGTCTTCCAAGGCTCCTAGCTGCCACCCCTTGGCTTTTGCTGCCAAGAATGGTAGCCTATGGACTGGCGTTCTCCATCATTTGTAGCTGAGATGAAGAGAAGTCAGAATGTGAAACAGAGAAGTAATCAGCCTGTTGGTTGTATTCCAAGACAGTGGTTAAAAGCTGGGTCTGTGTTATTCTGACAGAGTCACTGAATCTACCACAAACACCACTGCAATTTCAGGGCTACAGTTCTAGGTAAAAAGCACAGGAGGAGAAGGGAGTGTTGCTGATGCAAGGGAAGCACATTAAGAAGTGATTGACACAGGAAAGTACTTTTGAGGCTTGTATCATTACCAATAACAGCAAGAATGTTGGGGATAAAACCAGATATGGCATCAATGACCGGAAAAACAATATTTAAAGAGTAAGAGCTTAGAGTGTAGGTCCCTCACACAGCTATCCATGCATGGGCTCAGGGAGTTCACTCCTAAACCCACAATGTTATCTCTGTACTGAGATATTGCCTCGTTAGCTGATAATCCTGAGAATGTCTGAAGGCAGGGTACTTGCAAAAAGAGAATGAATGTGTTAATGTCTGTAAGTTTGGTCTAAAGACTTCCCCTAAAATAGTGACTCTTTTAAGACCTCAGATCTTTTTAGTTCCCTAATACATGTTTCCAACTTCAGCAGGGTTATCTGTGCTGCTCCAAACCACAGCGAGATTATTCCTGCTTTCTTTCTTCTCAATGAGTCAGAAATGGGGAGGGAGGCTTAGAAGTTTCCCTGGGACCTGCTTTCAATTACTCTTCATTTGGTTACATATCAATTCCCCCTCATCCTGCCACCAGCCCATGGGCCTTGCTTACTCCCTCGAGGCGAAGGTGATTATTTCGCCCAAGACCATCTGTACTTTGGGATCCCTGCTAATCCTTTGCTCTCAGAAAAATCCATTCTTGCTGCCGTAGCCACTGCTTTGCTGCTGCCTTCTGCACTTTAATGCTTATTTGCTTCCTTTCATTCCAGCTGTGTTACAATCATCTGCACAGCTCGACAGTTTGATTCACTTTTTTGCTTTAATGACTCAGAACCTCCCTTGTTTCCCTAATTTCATGACATATGAACTTTGTACATCCTTATTTTTAACCTTTGGGGCAGGATAATCCCCGTCTCATCCATTCAACCTTTATTTTCCTGCCATTGATTTCCTACCGTTCTTTGTCTTTTTCCTTTGATTATTTCTCATACTCTTTCTGTAGCTCTTGAAAACCTCATACGCCTTTTCTACTTGGAATACTTTGAATATGGTATTGGCACAAAACAGAAGTAACTTGTACAAAAGCCAATGGCTCGTATATACCTAAATGACACAAATACTTTGCTGCTTTTCGATCCCTCTCTTTACTTCCCAGCTTTAAAGTGTCTCATTTGGAGACCTTAAAAGTAAAAACCACACAAACAATGCATTCCAAGGTCAGGGGAAGCTGTTATGACACCCAGTCTCACCCTATGAATCACATAAGTCAGAGTTTCAGCCAGTAACTCCTGTATTGAACTCAAGAGAAGACATTGAACATAGGCAGCCTGTGCAATAAGAGTACCAGTCTTTATATTACATCTGGAACATCACAATATGTACATAAGAAATAAATGCTTAGAAATAAGGTGAATGAGCCACTTTTCTCTTATCTCTAGCAAGCTTCTCTATTCATCTGTATATTATGACTGAAGACCTGTGATTATTTACAAACTCTACACTAAGCTCTTGTAAATATCATTCAGCCCTCAATTAAAAGGTCAATTTCTACTGGAGTAGCTTTACCACTCAGAACAAGTCTCAACATCCTGCCTTATACGCAAATTGTCATATCCTCTTACACTGAGGTTGAAGATGTACACAAATGTGTACACTCGTCCCTCACTCCATGTGTGTCACATGCACAGTGATGGCACAAAGTGATGCTGTCTTAGCTGATTATTTTGTTAAAAGAAGAGGAATCATTCTTTAGTGAAAGATAATTAAACCTTTTCCTTTCATGTTTGCTCCAAACATGATTGCAAAACTAGTTGGACCTAGTTTACTAAAAGATAACCTTTTTGATGATCAAAGGAAGAGATTGGTTCCATTACTTGCATTAGTCAGAGTTGTCTGTGCTGTGGCCTTCAGAATAAAGGGAGAAATGTACTTTAGAAAGATCTGAGTAACACACTTTACTGGAAGCATTTTTGTATTATATAGCTTCTTGACTGTTTCAGCTTACTCTGTATCTGTGCACTTTATTTTAAGCACTCCAGAAGTGGATGACAGGTCTGGGGGAAAACAGATAGAATCCAGTCAACATCTCACAAATGCATCTTCAAATAATGCCTTAAAAGTGGAAATTACATTTGGAAATGGTATTTTGTACATTTCCAAGGATGAGGTATTCAAATGGCAATCTGATGTAAGAGAACATAGTCCAATGTTAAAAACACTTTGTCACATTTGTCAATGTTATTTTAAAATGGAAATGTTAAAGTGTGCTGGCTCACCTGGAACAAGTAATTCAGGCAGATGCCTCATAATAAATCAGTAAGGTAACATTTGGATGATCACAGAATCCTAGAATGGTTTGGGTTGGAAGGGACCTTAAAGCTCATCCAGTTCTAACCCCCTGCCACGGGCAGGGACACCTTCCACTAGACCAGGTTGGTCCAGCCTGGCCTTGAACACTGCCAGGGATGGGGCAGTCACAGCTGCTCCGAGCAACTACTGTGATTATACCAGACTTCAAAAGATAAACTCAATTTATTTAGTTCTGCACTATTTGGTTCAGCCCAGCTATTCCTCGCTCTTTCTGACATCTCATTTTAATATGATTTCATGCTAAAAGACCCCGAGGCTTGCACATCCCTTTCTAACTCTCCTCTTTCCCCTTACCATGATAAGGTTGCAGCAGAGCAGCCCATTTCAGTCACATTGGCTGGACAATTAGCAGTTCCAAACATGCACTGTCCCTAAAGCGTTTCATAAGGCAGGGACTTCATTATTGCAGTGTGAGGCTGGAGGAACCACACTGACCCCTCGCTCCCCCAAAACCCCATTGCTTCTTTAGGGTCTGGTGTGGCAAAAGCACAGGAGTTAGCTCACGGGAGGATGCTATAGCGATTGGAACAGTTTCAGCAGGCAGGGAGAGAAATGCAGCTGAAAAGCTGAGCATGGTTTTTCATGCTGAAGGAAAGCAGGGGTCCCCTTCCAGCCATTCCCTGCTGTCAGTGTTGGCACCTAACGCAGCTAACAGGCTCCCTCTTCAGTTACTGCAGAAAGCAAGGTTCCTCAGGGGGACGGGGGATGTATGGCCAGGGCCTATTCAAGCAACAGGACAGCACTATAGGATCATCTTTAATTAATTGTTAGAGTCTATCAGTGCTTCTAAGAGGAGCGGTAACTTCCTGACAGACATAACTGGACTATGGGATCAGTTTTCCATCTTGTGTGCATGCTAAAGAGTTTTCTATATGGGATAAATGCATTCTGGGTAAGAAAAAGACTTCTGTATGTCAAGTTTTCCAAGGACCCCCCTCCAATAGACAAACCATTGCATAAAAAGTTTGGCATTTCTTTTATGAGATGCATGATGGAAAACTGCACAGACTGATTCTTTACTTATAGGGCACTCAAGTTGAATTCTATTTTGCTCTGGGTTCATCTTCTTTTTAGAAAGTATCTTAATAAGGAGTTATGGAGCTTCCTAGTTCATAAATATATTATCTGCTTTCCAAAGCTGATGCTATAAATGATCAATGCAATGGAATCACTAGGCTCACCGATGCAAAGAAAGGATTTGTTCAATGCCAAAACGTGCTTTACTTTTCCTTTGACTTTAGGGAGGGGGATCAAGACTTGGCATTCAACAGCCTACAGCCATCGTTGCAAATTAACTTGCCATTTGTTATTATAGATGGAAAATTAAACCCACAAGTCCAACAGGTCAAGAGCCATAAGCTTGAACAGAGGAAAACAGCAGCACAATTACGAGAAACAACATATCATACAAAACAGCCTCAAAGCTGAGGGGGTGTTTTAGAATATCATAACCTTGTGCATCTTTCTCACAGGTCCCAATAGGAGACGCGTGTGTGCACGCTTGTGTGTGTGCTCGTCTGTGCATTTCCAACTGAGATCAGTACTTGAGTCTCCAAGTAAGTGCAAAAAGGAGAATTTTCCAGTTTGTATCCTCTGGCAAATGCAATTTCCCTCCCAACACACATTAAATTCATTTAGCCTAGTGCATTTTTAATAGACATTATTCATCTATTACCTTAATGAGCTTGTGGTGAAAGCATATTGCCTCCCAATTTTAACAAAAGCAGTCTAATATTGCTGCAGCTTTTTCCCCTTTTGCCTTCTAAGGCAACAGCACGGAGGGGGGAAGAAAAAAAGCTATAGAGACAGATAAGGTTTTTATTCTGAGTCACAACACTACATTAAGAATAAAACCTTCCACTTAAACACTTAAATGAAAACATCGAGAAACTAATTTACCATTTGTAACCACATGATTTAAGTAGGAGCAGCTTTAATTTTCTTCCCATTTTCCTCATATTCAATGTGAGCCCACATTAGATTTCACTGGCTCAAATCACAACACTTAAAGCCACTTTCATTTTCTTTTTGATTAAATAATTGAAATTCCTGTCACTGCCTGCACTTTACTAGCACACAAATTTTATGTGTAAAGATAAATAATCTTTTTTTCTCCCTTCCCTGCTCATAGGCTTTTTTCCCCCTCTTTTTTTTTTTTTTTACCCTTTTTTTTTCAGTTTAATCTTAAAAGCAGGCAAGGTTTAGCTTATTGATGGTTCCATAAAATGGATCAGTGCTCCATTCACCTATTTCGTGGAATTATACCGCTCCCATTAAGTGATTGTTTGGAGAAATTATGGAAAGCCATCTTCTCTAATTTAGCTGTCATCGGGGTAAGGTTATTGCTATCCAATCCTAAAAGGACAGGAAGCCCGGTTACCCGTGTGCTCTTCCCTCTCCCACACGCACATCCATTAATGTCTGAAGCCTTGATTTTTATTGAAGTATTTGTTTCAATTAGGGTAACAAGTCTTATTAATGCTCCCTAATAAGTTACTCTGACAAAATTCAAGCCACTTCCCATCGCAGTGATGTGAAGGGCCTGGTCAATATGCAGCATCAATTGGCATTGCCTGTAATGAGCAGTGGATTCGAACACAGCACCCTGCTCAATGGAGAAACAAACAAGAGTCAAGAGTCACTTCTAGCACAACCTGCAGGGCTGCAGCAAAGCCCAGTTCCATTTCTTTCGCTTCCCACCCTAAACTGTGGGAGAGAATTAGCACCTTTTAAAAGCCTCTAATGGATCTTACCTAGCAGTAA